TTAAAATATGGCGCTCATAAAAACATATAAAACTGGGTTCTGCCAGTGACATTGCCCGCGTTACCCACATGTACACCTAGCTTCACAGACTACACTCACTACTGAAAATGATTTAAACTTTGAAAAGTAGTCTAAATTATACTAAAATCAATTCAGTAGTGTTATGTGAAAGAGTTTCGCATTAATAAATACTAGGATTTCCATAACTACATAATCACGATATTACATAGACCAGTCACGTAATTTCTTTATGTCATAGTTAAGCAAACTGTCAGACGGATTACCTGATGGTAAGCAAACGGCGCCGCCCATGGGCACGCGTAATACCAAATGAGTAACTCCTTAATTAGGGGTACTCTTGTGGGTTATTAGGGATTAAAAGTTAGAGGATTTGCGGATTGGTAGATGGGGAGGTGAAGATAGGGCCTTTTGTAATGCCACCCCCAACGAAACACAACACAAGTGTTGCTTCACGCCGGTTTTCATTGAGGCCGTGGTATCACTACGGTCGAGCTGGACCCATTCGCGCCGAAGCATGGCTCTCCCACACTTAAAAAATTGCGTTGCTTAATAAATAGCTTAAGTATAATTGACAGAGTCAGAGAGACAAAGAGTATACGCTTATACGCGACCAAACCAAACAAGTATTATCCTAATCTCTATTAACATTTAAGTTAAGCTAATAAAACAGCTTAGTAGTTACGTATTTCCTTACATAATTACTGCGTAGATGTGGCTCACTAGATACCTATGAAGGTCGCGGGTTCGGTTACCGGCTCGTGTACTTGCGAAGTATAAGGTTAGTGTGTCATTACATAATAGTCAATAGAAGGGCTCGCTTATAAGCACAATACTTGATAAACCATTTACAATTATGTTAGTGGATGGACAGGTTTATTTGACGCAACAAAATATATTTATGTATTCATCTTAAACACTTATTAGTCGATAGATTGACTGAGGACTGTAAAAATATAAATAGAAACCCACGTGTAAGACTTAATACATCATACATGTGAAAGTAACTCTGTCTGTCTGCTTGTCTTTTCTTTACGCCTAAACTACTGAACCGATTTCTGTGTAATTTGGTACAGACATAGTTTGGAACTCGAAAAACGATATAGGATAGTTTTTATACCAAAAGTCTGTAGGAAGTTACTACTCCACGCGCACGGAGTCGCGAGCAATAGCTAGTCAGTCTATTAGTGTCTACCATATATCATAGTGTACTCTGTGGTGTCTACTGCTTAGTAAAGACCTCTCTCTCACACGGAGAACGTTTGAGCAAGGCGGATTGGCCATTTCAAACTTGTAATTTAAAATTATTAGTCAAGGTTTCCTCACACTGTCATTAGAAGCCGCCTTAACCTCTGTGTCACCACGATCCTTATTACATATAGTGATATAATTCTAGATTTGTATCTATGTCTATATACATATGAAACTGTAATAAAAAAAAGTAAATTACCATCGAAATTCTAGCTCGTTTTTCTCCATCGGAATGTACACTTTGGATCGAGCAAATAGCTTCACTGACCGACAGACTGAATTTTTTTTTATTTTAATATTTTTTGAGGTTCAAAAGTGCCTGTAAGGGTCTAATTGAAATAAATGATTTTGACTTTGTAAAAATTCAATACGATTGTTCATTCATTCATGTAGACATTTTTTTTTTTATTTATTTATTTTATATTACAAATGTAGCCTTATCTTTTGTGCTAAGTATTCCTATTCATATAGTATACATGTATTCCTCCCTAACCGTGTAAGGGACTAAATACATAGTAACCTTTAATAAAAATAGATTTAGAAAGTGAAAATGATTTGGCAACAAACACACGAATGACAAATTCATTGACCAGCAAACGGTGTTGGCGTAACGTATGCTAGGTATGTTTAGTGGAACGTGTCAGTATTTTATTTTTAATTTGTGTTGTACACGTGACGTGACACGCGCCCATTCTGCCACTACTGTCACTATAGACTGTCTTGGGCCTTGGGTAGGTATCTAATTGAGGGTTACTGTGTGACAGTCTTGTTTGGTGGAGGCAAAATTATCTAATTACTACACACAACTAAAACCTACGTGTACCTATAAAATAGCATTACTTGATTACTGCTGCTGATGCTCCAAGTCCAAATATCAAAGTACGTAAAGTTTCATTACATTTGTATTTCTACTGCTTCCGCCCTGGGCGAGAAGACTAGACTCTTGCTGACTAAAACCACCTCAATCTTTCTCTTATGCTAGTATCTGCAACCCCGGCTGGAGGATACCGGATGTCCAATCCTTCCCCTCCCCCAATCCCTAAATCTCCAAATTCCCTAATCCCCAAAAGGTCGGCAACTCATCTGTTACGGGTGTCAGGTAATCCGTTGTGAGTAATGTTCATTTTTATTAAAAAAAAATATGATGGTAAGCAATCGGCGTCACCTAGCCTAGAACGATCGGAAGGATGGGGTCTCGACTGCTTTCACACAGCAAAATGCAATATTACGGTTGTTTCACGCCGGTTTTCTGTGAGGCCGTGGTAGCACTCCGGTCGAGCCGACCCATTCGTGCCGAAGCATGGCTCTACCATACTTAAAATGATATAATCAGTAATCTATAATAAAAAAATAGATCGCAAAATGTGTTGGTAAGCGCATAATTCAACAATGCCTGAACCAATTTTGCTAATTATATTTTTGTTGTGTTTGTTATTGTCAGGAGAAGGTTCTTATCAAAGAAGATATTAGAAAAGTAGAGGGGAAGATTAGGAAAATGTGACCCTTTGATAGCGAGATAGTTGGACCCGTGCAAAGCGGGGGCGGGCCGCTAGCTTCAGTATAAAGACTACCTGTGTGAAAAAAGGTCATGAATCATTATTTTTAATATAAATATATAATGTAGTGTAGGTATGTTCGTCCGTCCGGTCACAGAGTCACAGCTAAATATACGCGTCCGTGTGTATGACTCTTATAAAAATGCAGTGAGTCGAGAGTCAAACGGCCGACCTACGCCATCGACTGTGACATGTGTTGTGTTGAAAATTCACGCGCCTACACACGTGTTGGGAAAATTTTGAGGAGCCTGGGGTTTTTTTTGTGAGGGGAAAATCATCAAATGACTTCTCCCGCCCAGGGCCGGGTGGGAGGGAGTGTCAGACGCTTACTGACTAAAAACCCCCCTGTTCCTTCTCCTGCTCTGTGCCGAGGTCGCGGTGCCTCATTGCGCTTACCCCGCAACCCCGGCTGAACATCAGCCCTATAGGGCCCCGTCTGTGGTGGTCTATTTCTCTACGCGCCTGGTTCTGGTCGGGCAGCGAGCTGCCCTTACTCGCCGACCGCAGACCCGCGCTTACGGTGGCCGAAGATCGTCCCTTGATCCCCGGCGCCCGTAGTGTCGCCTGTTGCGGCGGCTGGGGCGTGAGGAGGAGGATTGCCCCCTCACGCGGGCCGCCTCCCTCTTTGCGAGCATAACTGCAGTGAGACTGGAAATGATGTCCGTCTTGTAGACATGCATTATATGCTTTTCTTTATCATCATCAGCCTGTAACTGCTGTCCACTGCTGACCAAAGGCCTCTTCTGGTATTGGCGATTTGAAACTTATAATTAGAACAATATAAAATGACGTGGTGGCCCGGAGGTTAAGGAGCCCACTTCTCATGCGTGTGGGTTCGAAACCTGGCAAGTACCAATGTGACTTTTTCAGAGTTATGTGTAAGTACCTACTTTCTATGATTATTTAGACACCCCTGACATATGGTGAAGGTAAACATCGTGAGGAACCCTGGACTTATAATTTCTTATTATAAGTTTGAAATCGCCAACCCGCATTGAGCAAGCGTGGTGATTTATGCTCTAACCTTTTCCGTAAGAGAAGAGACATTTGATGAGCAGTGGGCACTTATAAGCTGATGATGATGAAATCCCAGGATTCCTCGTGATTAGCTGCTTTACCGTTTGGTAGTTTGCCGATCTATCACAAAAAATATATACGTATCTATATTATATTTCTTCATTATTAAACTGACAGACTGTATATAGATTTTCATATATATTATGTTGTGTTAAAACTTCTCGAGACTCGAACTATTGGTGACCTTAACGCTGTAAGTTCAACATAGAGTAAAGGTAATAATTTACCTATATATATACACCCCTGCTTGTCCCTTCAGAAGTTAAAGAGTTCTATAGTGATCGTTACTATGTTGGCCCACCTATATACTACATTGCCCCGCCATCCATCATCCACAAATACTTTGCCAATTGACACAACAATATTTCAATAAATTACGCGTCACAAATAAACACTTCCTCGTGAATCAATTGAATCGAATTCGGTTCAGTAGTTACTGAGTTAGTCGCACACACATTTTTGAAACTGCTTTGTCATGGGTTTATCATACGATTAAACGGATAACTTGATAAGAAATGAGCCATGTTTCGGCACGAATGGGCCAGCTGGACCGGAGTGATACCACGGCCTCACAGAAATCCGTCGTGTGAGTGAGTTTACCGGAGGTCCAATTCTTGCCCCTCCCTCTATTCTCAATACTGAAATCCCCTATAACCCATAAGAGGTCGGCAACGCACTTGTAGCTCCTTTGGTACTACGAGTATCCATGGGCGGCGCTGATTGCTTACCATCAGGTAATCCGAACGCTTGTTTGCGGACCTATGACATAACAGAAAATTCTAGCCAGATATCGCGGCCCTGGCAGAGGGGCAGGAAATAGTTTATTAGTCAGTAAGGAGTAATTTTTGTAAGTTCTTTATTCTTTAGCGGCGCTGAGCACTTTTTTAATTTGTGGTATTGGTTGGCAAACGAGCTGACGGATAACCTGATGGTGAGCAATCAGCGCCGCCCATGGACACCAAATGAGTCCGTTGCCGGCCTTGAAGAGATAAGGGTTTCAGATATTTAAAGACTGGGATGGGATGGAAAGGGATTGGGCTTTTCGGGCTTTTCTGATTGGTGTGAAGCGTTGATTGCAATATACTAATTAATACTCACACTAGTGTGACGAGGTAGGGATGTATTTTGATATGTCCGTGGCCGCCATCTTGCGCGATAATGTCAGACGCGGCCATCTTGTCCGGCCAGAGTTGTCACCGCCAGCACGCTGCCTGAAACAAATACTGACATTAAAAGATTATACAGGAGAAATAGGAGGGGATCTGTGAACTGTTAATATTTTGTGATATTTATGATAATGCCCAATAATAATAAGTAGGTATTATGGAACTACTGGTTTGAATTGAACAATTCTTATTGTGTTTGTGAGTTCAAAAGTCAAAAAAGTCTCATCATCATCATCAGCCTATAAGTACCCACTGCTGAGCAAAGGCCTCTTCTCACACGGAGAAGGCTTGAGCATTAAGCACCACGCTTGCTCAATGCGGGTGGGCGATTTCAAACTTTTAGTAATTATAAGTCCAAGTTTCCTCACGATGTTTACCTTCACCGTATGTCAGTGGTGTCTGAATTATCATAGAAAATACATATAACTCTGAAAAAGTCACAATGTTACTTGCCAGGTTTCGAACCCACACCCTCATGCATGACAAGCGGTCTCCTTAACCTCCTCAAAAGTCATTGAATGACTATTTTACAAAAAAAGTATTGTTCAAGTAATTAGGTATAAGTATCCCGGAAATCATTCCCCGCCCGGCAACATATACATATATAAACTACCTAACATACTGTATTTACATATTAATTATATGTTACTCCATTGTGTACCTCCTCCCTGACCCCGCCTACTTACTCCGACCCACTCCGTACATTAAGTACAAATATAATACGACTAGCTACTCTCGCGCGGTTTCACCCGCTGCTCGGCTCCATTTGATCGTAGCGTGATGTTTTATAGCCTATATAAGCACTCAGGAACATTTTAGCTATCTATCAGTGAAAGAATTTTGGCAATCCGACCAGCGGTTCCAAAGATTACCCCCTACATACATACTTACAAATTTTACCTCTTTAAAATATTAGTATTGACTAAACAGCAACTATTATTGTAGCAAAGCCATGCTTCGGCGCGAATGGGTCGGCTCGACCGGAGTGATACCTCGCAGAAAACCGGCGTGAAACAACCACAGCGTTGTGTTTCGCCGTGTGTGAGTGAGGTTACCGGAGGCCGAATCCTCCTCCCCAATCCCTAAATCTCCAAATCCCTAATTACCAAAAGGTCGGCAATGCACTCGTAACGCCTTTAGCGTTGCGAGTGTCCATGGGCGGCGCTGATTGCTTACCATCAGGTAATCCGTCAGCTCGTTTGCCGACAATACAGGAAGCAATAGTATTTGTACTAATTCTTTATTTCCTGTGTATTTGCTGTTATTATCAATTAATCAAACCGTTTTTCTAATCTATCTATAATATAAAAATTTATCGCAAAATGTGTTGGTAAGCGCATAACTCAACAACGGCTGGACCAATTTTGCTAATTCTTTTTTTGTTATGTTTGTTATTGTCAGGAGAAGGTTCTTATCAAAGAAAATATTAGAAAAGTAGAGGGGAAGATTAGGAAAAAGTGACCCTTTGATAGCGAGATAGTTGGACCCGTGCGGGGGCAGGCAGCTAGTATAATATAGTAATTTATAAGTCCGACCAGACAGCAATTTAGGTACTAAAATCACAGTTAAAAAGGTATATCCGATCAGAAAGCATTAGCTACATATCTTTTCTAGTTAAATAGTAGTCTGTCAGTCTGTTCGTCAGTGACGCTAGGTGCACGTTCCTAAGTGTAGACTCGAATGGAGGAGAACGAGCAAGAAACTCCATAAAGCTTAGAGCAGACAGATTACCTGATGGTAAGCCATCAACGCCGTGTTGTCCATACCACTGAAATTGGGGGAGGGGATGGATTGGGCCTCCGGTAACCTTACTCGCAACACCTCGCTGGGTTTTCTGTGAGGCTGTGGTATCATTCTAGTCCAACCGACCCCACACTTGACCACTCTTTATTTCTTCACTCGGGTATTATACACCCGCGTGAAGAGCTATGGTGGTAAAAATTATAACACTCGGCTTATCTGACATCATATATAGATAGATATGTTTATAGTACGTGTGTATGCATGTATTATCAGTACGTTATCACCGGCACCTCTTGTTAGTATTAATAATAAATAAATTAAATAATAATAATTGTTATCTTAATTATGTGTTAATTGATCGTTACACGCGTTTGCCAGGGCCTTGCCCAGGGATTGGGAAGGGTTGGCGCTAGGGGAGGGATTGGGCCTCCGGTAACCTCACTCTCACGACGAAATACAACGCTTTAGTTGTTTCACGCTGGTTTTTACCCGACTACGGCAAAGCAAAAGGAGGGTTATGATTTTGACAGGCTATGTATATATGTATGTTCATCTGTTCCCTCGTAACTTCTAAACTACTTATCAGAATTCGACAAATGACATATCATTAGAAACGTCTTAATTGCCCGCTGGTTATCGGCTATATGGGGTTTCACAAAATCTAATATGGCGTCCTCTAGCGGACAAAACATTCAGAGTAATAAAATAAAGTTTAGATAAATATTCCGTGTTTAGTATCATTTTGTCTCTGTTTGTGTGTGTGTGTTTGTGTGTGATTAATTCTACAGAAAGCGACTGTTATTTTTTTTTATGTAATAGGTCGGCAAACGAGCAGACGGATTACCTGATGGTAAGCAATCAGCGCCGCCCATGGACACCCACAACGGAGGAGTTACGAGTGCGTTGCCGACCTTTTAGGGATTAGGGATTTGGAGATTTTGGGATTGGGGATGGGTCAGGGGAGGGGAAGGATTGGGCCTCCGGTAACCTCACTCATACGGCGCAGTGGTTGCTTCACGCCGGTTTTCTGTGAGGCCGGGGCCGAGGTATTCGTGCCGAAGCATGGCTCTCCCACACTTAAATGTTATAAATTACTTACAAAACTAAGTAAGTATTTTTTGCTCGCCCCGGAATCGAATGAACAAGAATTCAGTGTAGCGTGACTACCAACTCGTGTATGCTGTCCAACAAGGCTGTCATTACATTACAATCGCTTCAACACACCACTTATTATTAACATAATCACATTTCCTTTACAAAAACATTTTATGTATGCCTTTTTTATAACACCCGATGGTACCCGCAACATCTAAGGAGTTACGAATGCGTTACCGGCCATTTGGGGTAAGGGTTGCGGATATTTAAGGATTGGGGAAAAGGACTCCGGTAACCTCACTCACACGGCGAAACACAAAGCTGTACTCGCACGCCGGTTTTTCGTAAGGCCGTGGTATCACTTGGTTATGATTTTCAGGCGTGACACAACGCTGTGATTGGTTTTTTTTTGTACGAGGAAAAATCATCAAATGCACAGTAGACTGTTTCACTCAAACAGCGTGAAACAACGCTTTTTTTTGTGTAGGGAAAATCATCAAATGACTTCTCCCGCCCAGGGCCGGGCGAGAGGGAGTGTCAGACTCTTACTGACTAAAAACCCCCCCGTTCCTTCTCCTGCTCTGTGCCGAGGTCGCGGTGCTTCATTGCGGCGACCCCGGCTAAACATCAGCCCTATAGGGCCCCGTCTGTGGTGGTCTATTGGCTCTATGAGGCGCGCGCGGAACGCTACGCGCCGTACGCTTGAGGTGAAACAACGTTGTGGTTCGTTTAAGTAGGCTTACGTCGCCGTGGTATCACTCCTGTCGACACGAGACACAAGCAGGTACTTTTGAAACGTCAAAATAGAATAGTAGTCTGTCAGTCTGTTCGTCAGTGAAGCTAGGTGCTAGTTCCAAATTGTAGATTCGAATGGAGAAGGACGAGCGAGAAACTCGATAACCTTAACCACTTAATTCAGAATGTTATATACTATACTCTTGATATGTATAAACGCGTAGCAATCAAAGGAATATAATACATACGGTCACCGATCCAAGGTTTGGCCGCGGCCACAGTCGCTTAACCCCCGCGTTAGTATGCAGCGCGACCCGATTGTATACAATACACATACAGAGCCTGATTGTGTAACTGTCCGTCTGTCTGTTGTTGTGAAACTGACGTCCATTGTATTCCAGTAATTGGTCAGAACTCAGAATCGATACTAGTATGCGGACATTTTATATCGATTTCATTCGATTCCGTTTTAAATATATCAATAACTAGATACTCTCGCAGTTTCATCCGCTGTTCGGCTCTATTTGATCGTAGCGTGATGTTTTATAGCCTATAGCACTCAGGAACATTGTTGCTATCTATCAGTGAAAGAATTTTTGCAATCCGACCAGCGGTTCCAAAGATTACCCCTACATACAAACTTACAAATTTTATCTCTTTATAATATTAGTATAGATAGATCGAATTCAGCTTATCCATTGTTTTTTTACAGGACTAAGGTAACATAGATGGCAAATTGAAACAAAAAAAAACAAATTTTAAGTGTGGGAGAGCCATGCTTCGGCACGAATGAGTCTGCTCGACCGGAGTGATACCACGGCCTCACTGAAAAACGACGTTATCTGACACTTACGTTGTGTTTCGTCGTGTAAGGGAATTCACCGGAGGCAGAATCCTCGCTCCCCCATCCCCTATCCGCAAATCCCTAACAATCCACAAGAAATCAGCAACGCAGTTGTAGTAACTCCTTTGGTATAACGAGGGTCCATGGGGGGCGATGATTGCTTACCATCAGGTAATCCTGCTCTGCTCGATTCCCATCCTAACATATAAAAATGCATGGTGATATGCCATGATCCTACTTATGTAGAATACACAATCTTTTTATTACAATAATGTGTATCGTGTCAGTAATTGGACGAAACGAAGGTCGTCTGCGAGCGTAGGTGACCGGGGCCATATCTAGTTGTAGACATGTAATAATGTCTTGCGGATGTGTGTAATTATATTGCCATTTGTACCTTATATTGTATGGCGCAGAGACGTGGACCTTGAAGAAAGCCGATTGGACCGCATTGATGCCTTCAAGATGTGGTCCTGGCGAAAAATGCTAGGAATTCCTTGGACGGCACACCGCACCAAGGTATCGATCCTCCAGGAGCTTAAGATCCAGACAATAAGGCTCTCTTCCATATGCCTCCGCAGGATTCTGGAGTTTTTTGGACACACTGCCAGAAGGGGCAATGATAACTTGGAAAAGTTACTAATCACTGGTAAGGTGGAAGGAGAGACCTAGAGGCAGAAGTCCCATACGTTGGACGGATCAGATTGGCACCACTCTCAACACTACAGTCCACGATGCTCTCCACTCGGCGGCAGATAGAAATAGATGGCGGAGAGTAATACGCAGTACACTGCTTCCACGAGGTGGTCACGACCCTCAGCACTGAGGAAACCGACGCGAGGAGGAGGAAGAGGACCTTATATTGTGGTCCGGAGGTAAAGAAGCCCGCTTCTTATGCATGAGGGTGGCATTCGAAACCTGGCAAGTACCAATGTGACTTTTTTCGAGTTATATGTACTTTCTATGATTATTTAGACACCGCTGACATACGGTGAAGGTAAACATCGTGAGGAAACCTGGACTTATAATTTCTAATTATAAGTTTGAAATCCAACCCGCATTGAGCAAGCGTCCTCCATCCTCCAATTAATGCTCTAACCTTCTCCGTACGAGAAAAGGCCTTTGCTGAGCAGTGGGCACTTATAGGCTGATGATGACCTTATATCTGTCTGTATTTTCATAAGCCCGCAAACGAGCAGACGGATTACCTGATGGTAAGCAATGGGCCCGCCCAAAGACACCCTCAACACATACAGGCGCGTTGCTAGCTTTTTGAAGATTGCAGTTTCGGATATTAAAGGATTGGGGAAAGATTGGGGATGGCAAGGATTGGGCCTCCGGTAACCTCACTCAGACGGCGAAACACAACGCTGTGTATACATACACGTGGTATCACTCCGATCGAGACGACCCATTCGTGCCGAAGTTTGGCTCTCCCATACTTCTATGCTAATATTATAAAGAGGTAAAATTTGTAAGTTTGTATGTAGGGGGTAATCTTTGGAACCGCTGGTCGGATTGCCAAATTTCACTGATAGATAGCTACAATGTACCTGAGTGCTATAGGCTACAAAACATCACGATAGGATTAAATGGAGCCGAGCAGCGAGTGAAAACGCGCGAGAGTAGCTAGTAATAGATATCAAATATACCTGACCTGTTGATAAATCCCTTTTGTGTGGGTGAAAAGTGATCAAATGACTTCTACCCTCCAGGGAAAGGCGAGAGAGAGTGTCAGACTCTTACTGACTAACCCCCCCCCCCCCCGTTCCTTCTCCTGCTCCAAGCAAGGTCGCAGTATCTTTTAACGCTTGCCCCGCAAACCTGGCTGGAAGAACCTTCTCCTAAATCTACTACGAGTCCCCTATAGTGCAGGATAAGCTACTTAAAACATTTAAGTACCTCACCAAGGAATCGAATTCAAATTCTTTCTTAACAATTTCACAAGTAACTAGAACGCATAGAATAAGTTCACGGTAACATTGTGACGGGCGAAGGTCAAACCCGCGACCTCGCGGTGGACAGCTGGAACGATCGATTTCCCGTCACAATGATACACAGACAAACTTATTCACTATATTTTATATTAATGTTACAATTTGATTTCAATTTAAAAAAACAAACAAAGAGACATGAGTAGCTTGGTAGTATTATGTATTACTACAAATATACTACTACATACAACACCACCCTCTCTCTTCCACCGGATGTGTGATACCCGATAAGATTACATCCTTTTTTACCAATAAGAACTTTGCTCAAAACTAGGTTTCTCCCCTGTGTCGTGGGTGCGTTTACAAACATACAATGTCACATACACATCACACCCAGACCCGAAACAACAATTTGTAGATCACACAAAGAGTTGTTCCGTGCGGGAATTAAGTATTCCTGGTCTTAAGGCGTCAGGTGGGCAAGCTATAATAATAAAATTGTTTACGACATAACACCATCGCATATGAAACACAAGCCACTCCCACTCGCTTTTATCCACTGCTCGGCTCCTACATATCGTAAAGTGATGTTTTATAGCCTATAGCCTTCCTCGATAAATGTATTAAACAACACAAAAAGAATTTTCCAAATCGAACTAGCAGTTCCGGAGATTAACGCGTTCAAACAAAGGATTCAACTTATAAATACTACAAATTATTATAAACGCTACAGTGTGTAAGTACGGATGTATGTTTGTTACTCTCTCACGTAAACACTACTGAACGGATCTGAATGTAATTTGGCACACAGATAGATTATAGTCTGGAATAACAGTGTAGGAGATCCATGGTTCAGCACAGGCAGTGATAAAAAACTGACATGAAACAACCTCAGCGTCTTGTTGAGGTCCAAGGTCCAATCCTTGCCCACCTAAATATCTGAAACCCTAATCCCCAAAACGCTGACAACGCACTCGTCACTCCTCTGGAGTTCCGGATGTTAATGGACGGCGCCGATTGCTCATCACATGGGCTACTCCGAGAGGCGATCTCCAGCCACCTAGAGCGCGGGTCTGCGGTCGGCGAGTAAGAGTAGCTCGCCGCCCGACCAGAACCAGACCCGAGCGTACGGCGCGTAGCGCTCCGCGCGCGCCTCGAAGAGCCAATAGACCACCACAGACGGGGCCCTAAAGGGCTGATGTTCAGCCGGGGTTGCGGGGTAAGCGCAATGAGGCACCGCGACCTCGGCACAGAGCAGGAGAAGGAACGGGGGGGTTTTTAGTCAGTAAGAGTCTGACACTCCCTCCGGAGAAGTAATTTGATAATTTTCCCTACACAAAAAAGTACCTTTTTACCCGCTTAATGCGAGCGAAACCAGAAACTATACTAGTATAACAAGTGTGACAAAGTGTGACGTAGTTATCACAATAATAACTAAATCGCAGTAGTTCACAGTATCCGGTCTGTTACCGAGTAATTGTCAGCTGTGAGCTGATACTCTGTGTAATCTGTTTGCAAATTGTCTGCCTCGGTCCAGCGGTCACATGTTCGAACTTAGAACACCGGGAAAAAACAAAAGGGATTTTGATTTTTTTTAACCGAGTTCAAAAAAAGGTGGTGGTTCTCAATTCGATTGTATTTTTTTATTATTTTTTTAGCAGTCCATCACTACATAGTTTAAAACAAAGTCGCTTTCTCTGTCCCTATATCCCTATGTATGCTTACATCTTTAAAACTACGCAACGATTTTTGATGCAGTTTTTGATAGATAGAGTGATTTAAGTGTAAGGTTTATATGTATATTAACATCCATTAAATAGTGGAGAAATTTAATATTAGCATTGCACCTGAGCGAAGCCGGTGGGGTCGCCAGTCTAGAATGATTCTAATTCTAGGTCATTAAAAGTCTTATTTAGAGTAGGTTTGTATTTTTTATGTGATAGTTCGGCAAACGAGCTGCCGGATTACCTGATGGTAAGCTATCACAAAGACAGCCTAAACAACAGAGGAGTTAGAGTCTGTTGCCGTCCTTTTGGGGATGAGGGTTTTGGAGATTTAGGGATTGGGCAGGGATTGGGGGAGGGGAATGATTGAAACTTTTTTTTTGTGAGGGGAAAATCATCAAATGACTTCTCCCGCCCAGGGTCAGGCGGGAGGGAGTGTCAGACTCTTACTGACTAAAAACCCCCCCGTTCCTACTCCTGCTCTAGGCCGAGGTCGCGGTGCCTCATTGCGCTTACCCCGCAACCCCGGCGGAATGATTGAAACTTAGGAATTTTATCCAACACTTAAGTATACCTATACATATATCTTTTTATTTATTCTTAATATTATTGTTTGGTTAGTACAAGAATATAATAGTATTGTTATCGATAGTATTGAAGTGACTGCGTCATCTTCAAGTGGTCACAAGAGCGAATATTGATCACTTGTCGAGTTGGACAAATAAATATTACTCAGTACTCATATCATATTATTGTACCTAATTACTTTCAGAGCAAAGTATCTAAGTACCTAGGTATTCATAAAATACGAAAACCTACAACTTTCCTTATAAATCACTAATAGCTGACGAAAACCGCATGGAATTTCGTCGAGTATTTGAGGAGTTTATGACATACAGACAGACAGACGTCATTAAGATATTTATAAAAAGGCAATTCGAAACGATTTTGAAAATGACTAGCTACTCTCGCGCTGTTACACCCGCTGATCGGCTCCTACAGATCGTAGCGTGATGGTCTATTAAACACAAAAAATATTTTCAATTCGAACCAGTAGGTTCCTGATATTAGCTCGTTTAATCAAACAAACTCTTCAGCTTTATATCATCAATACGTATAGTAAGGCTAGAAGTATGGATTTACCTTATGAAAAGTTAGCTATTCAGATTTAATTTAGGTACCTAATCCGGAGAAAAAAGGCCGACTTCAAAAATGTTTTTATTTTGATCGGTAAACGAACAGACGGATTACCTGATGGTAAGCAATCCCGTCCACTCATGGACGCTCGTAATACCAAACAAAAGAATTACTACAAGTCAAGTGAGTTGCCGGTCTGTGTAGTTAAGAATAAAGAGCCAAGCTTCGGCACGAATGCGTCGGCCCAAGTGATACCACGGCCCCAAAGAAAACCAGCGTGAAACAACCACAGCTTTGTGTTTCGACGTGTGATCGCCAAGAAAAATTAAAATTAATTACTGGACGGTCTTAAAAACAGATGGCTACACGGAATGAAACTACCTATTTCAAAAGATCTGCTCACCTGAGTTGTAGCGCGGTCAGCAGTTCCCAGGAACATTATCCAGAAAACGGTAAAATGCCAACACTAGCACGGACAAACACACAGACACACCATCACTCAACTATAATAAATTAATAAACAACTGTGTCACATTAACTCCCGCACACTACGTAATTTATTAATCAAATAAATAAAAGTTTTTAAACAATCGGCCGTAACCCCACATACGACCTCTCGCGCCGCGGGTTCCCGCTCTACCAAAGAGTATGTAACCACTACGTTTAAGAGACGGGACTCCCATACAAGCCAGTGGAATCAATTTACACGGCACTCTAATACCTACATTGCAATAAATAAAAGATGTCAGCCGTCAAAATCAATAGTACCAACCTAAAAGACCAAATAGTTCTGTGGTAGCTGTATACTAGGTTTAGTATCGATATCGATAATAATTATAGGGTAGAAATCGAGGTCATATTACTTTTTTAATTTTTAGTTTCGATCATTAAGATAAAGTTCGGATTTGAAATAAAACATTGTGTTATATTAAAAACTAAAAAATATATTTTTGTAATAATATTCAAATTCATATTATATACGGACGGTGTGTTAAGTACCTAACTAAAATTAATTAAATTAAGTGGACTCTATACTTAATACATATATTGGTTCAGTAAATTGGTTCTATGGGCACATACACTAAATCTTCTTTGCCAACAACTTTCACCCACTGCCGGCACCTGAAAAATGGAAAAATTCAAAATGGACAGTCCCTGACGAATACAGTATACATAAATTTTAATCATTAATTTCTTAAAATCTACTGGGTTTGTCGTGTCACAACTTTGTTCAACAACATCTAATAACATCATTACTTCTTTGGTGTGGTCTGGAAAGTAAATCACGAAAGAATAAATAAATCAAGGGATCTTTGGAGTTTAGCCCACACATAAGTCTGTGACTATCGATACTTGAGGTACATCACTAGTACACAATAAGTACATGAAAATCAATTTACATGTATTTGTAGCCTTTTATACTTAGAATTAAATAAAATTATATCATTTAATGCTTACCGGTCCTTATCCAAAGGAAATTTCGCCATAAACATCCTTTTCTCGCCATTTTTACGACCGGATCGTTCTCCGCAGATTTCACAAGTTAGAAACCGTTTTTTTGGTGGCATTTTACTTGAACACGTAACTAGTCACAGCCGTATCACTAACCACTAATTAACTAAACAAATTATACGTAAATTTATGAAATTATGAAAATAACAACATAAACTTACAAAAGCAACGACATTCAAAGTTCAAAACTTCAAACAAAATGGCCGACGGATTAGTGAAAGAAAGAGAACTGTACTGAGGGAGTGGGATGGCAATATCCGGCTACTTCCGTGTGCCATTATTTGCCGTGCCAAGCCCATACATTTTTATTTTTCTTCTAAGTTGCGCTAGGCTGCGCTCTACTAAAAATTCTCCATATTGTCAATTATTACAATAACCATTTTAAATATACACCTAATACATATATAAAAGCTCTTAATATTTAAGTCATAAAGTATAATTTACATTGTAATGACAGCAAATGTGGCTTACCAAACGAGCTCTATCTGACGTTTCCTAAACAAGTTTAATTTGCAGTTGTGATAAAAGAATTTTCCTTTACAAAGTACTGGTGTTGTTGTTTAACAGCTGCACGTGTAAGTTTGTAAAATTGTACGTATGAAAATACAACAATTTATTTATTGTTGACGATGTTTTGTTGTTTGTGTATCGTAATAACAAGCCATTTCTTTCCTGAAGAGGTAAGCAGAGATATTGTAAGTGCCTATTATAATGGCTTTTCAATAAAGAGATGAACCTATTACCAAATAAAAACTTTGCAGATAAATAATGGGCGCGAAAATAGGATCATAGACAATGCCTCTAGCTAAGGAGTATTACTAGCGACCCTTGTACCAAATTATCTAATTATGAATAATTTAGATGATTCATTAGTACATTGTATTATATACTTTCAATATAAAACAATAGTGTTACATTTTTATTAGATAACACTTATGTATATCGTCACAAAGGATTATAATACACGGAATATGGACGGGCCAGATCTTATACCTACGTATTTTTATAATGATATACAAATTATATTAACGAGGTAACTCATTTGTCGTCATCAGCATCAGCCTATAAGTGCTCACTGCTGAGCAGAGGCCTCTTCTCACACGAAGAAGGTCAGAAGGTGTATGGTATGTGTGGGAGAACCATGCGGCACCAATGGGTCGGCTCGATCGGAGTGATACTATGTCCTCTCAGAAAATCGGCTTGAAACAGCAGCGTTGTGTTTCGCCGTATGTGTGGGGTTAATCGAGACCTAAGAAGACTTCTCCTCACCTCCCCCCCCATATCTCCGTAATCCCTAAATTTCAGAAACCATAATCCCCAAAAGGCCGGCAATGCACTCGTAACTCCTCTGGTGTTTGTCCATGGGTGGCGTTGCTAACTCACCCTCAATCACATTAACAAAAGAAAGAAGCCATGAGCATTAATATCCATGCTTGCTCTAGACTCTAGCCAGATTGGTCCAGGTTTCATCAAGATATTTTTGTTGTCCTCTGAGCCACCAGAAGATCAGCTGTCTAATAGTGACCTTTCAAAGGGTTCTAACTTAGGCTGGACCTAAGATGGAAGACTCTCTGGAATTACCCATGACTAAAAACTACCTAAAAAAATGTTATCTTATCTTATCTTACTTATAATAAATCTGAAGAGGGGTCAATTCTGTTCGTTTAATATATTTTCAAAACTAACTTCTGCCAGAGACTTCGTCCGCATGGAATAGTGAGTTCTGCCAGATTTTTGGTTTTAGATACTCGCATAGTACCAGATCTCATAGGATTTTCGGGAAGTTCTCCTTTCGAATTTCCAGGATAAAAACTATCCTATGTCCTTCCTCGAGTTTCAAACTATGTATGTCTGTACTTACATTTATCCAAATTGGTTCGGTAGTTTACGGGTGAACGAGAGACAGACGGGGCCCAATGGGGCTGATGTTCAGCCGGGGTTGCGGGGTAAGCGCAATGAGGCACCGCGACCTCGGCCTAGAGCAGGTGAAGGAACAGGGGGGTTTTTAGTCAGTACGAGTCTGACACTCCCTTTCGCCCGGCCCTGGACGGGAGAACACATTGGATGATTTTCCCCTGACAATAAAAAAAACTATACCCGTGATAACTTTAACCATTAAGGCTACACACGCGACGGACGCTAAAAAGATGGAGTAATTTCTCTCGTTTTCCCAACATTCCCTTCACTGCTCTGCTACTAATAATTGTAGCGTGATGAAAAGTATCCTATAACCTGCCCAGGACTATAAACATTCATGTGATTGATGTGAACACTGAATCATGCTATAAGGATTATTTTTGTGTAACGGTTGCCGCGCTCGACGCAACGCGGTACAAAATAATTATCTAATATAAGTACCTATGGAAAACCAGCCGGCAACGCAGCTAGTAGCTGTGGGCAGTGGTAATCGTTGACCATCAAGTGTTCCGTCCACTCATAATCCACAAAAATTTATAATAAGTAAGTTGGTAAGTAGGTATACCACTCGGTACTAAGTAATGCGAATTACATTTAGAAATACAACCTACAAACCGGTTACAAAGTCATTGGAACAGAATTTTCCGCTTTAAGTACCAATAGACTAGTTGAATATTACAGGGAAACATTAAAATAAACGATATGTTTAATTACAACATCAATAAAAACACATTAACACAGCCAAATGTGTAAAAGCATATCAACCTATACTATCTTTGAAATTACGTTAATCAATTATAAACTTTATTGCAAATACATAAGGTTCAAAAACGAGTACAGTTGGGGGGTACGTTTAGGTGCTACTGGTTCACGTAATTATAACGATGTGGTTTGCAATTCAAATAATGTAGTTAAGTACCTACCTATTTACTTATTTTTGTAACAGATCTCGATTATATGTTCGACGTACGTTATTTGGTAGAGGAAGGCACAGATAGAGTTTAAACTTCATAATATTGCTTACTGAATAACTTAGCTATTTTATAACTAAGTTTTAAATAAATTTATGTAATTTATTGTCTTAATTTTATTTACTTTTTTATGAAATTTACAAAGATTTGTTTTAGGGAACGGTTAGGAATTCTAGTTTCTGTCTGGTGGAATGCAAGCATTACATTCTTCCCGTTACTGTTTTATTAATTGCCAATGACAACAAACAAATAGAATTTAAAATATTTCTTTTATTAGCCTGAGTTTAGAGAAAAATAGATTAAAGAAAAATAAAATATTTTTTGTTTTAAATGTAAGGCCATGTTAACGAATGAAACAACGTGAAACGGAATGAAAAAATATGATGACCTTGACAATTTGACAGATAAAAATTGAATTACCAGCATGAGATTTCTCCTCGTATTCGGGTAAAATAAAATCCATAAAAGCTTTTATTCACTTTCTTCTCTTTCTTACCCTTTCTATTCTCTAAGCGTATCCTGAATTCCTTTGGATACACAGTAATAATAACTCTTTTTAACTGAGCTGCAGTAGATTGCAGTACATAACAAACTGAAATCAAAAACTAAATGATTAATACTCAATTTTAAGATATTACATTAAAGTGTGAGGTAAATTGAAATATGATATTGGCAACATTGGAATGACGGCCATAGCAGTTTACCTAGTCACGCGAGAAAAAAAATGTGAATTTACAAATTGAATATTCGTTGTTTTAATTGCTTTTTAAGACCTAATACACTAATTTTTCGTGATAATTAAAGAGTGTAATACAGAAATCACCTATTAAAGATGTTATTTAAGGAGTTTTGGTGGGAAAACACGATGAATTCCATCGTTATAAACTAATTTCTGAAACGAATAAAAAAGTGTTTTTTTGTGCTATACAACTCAACATCAGGTAAGTTTTTTACGCAGAGAGTATCGATTAGTACGTGGAAGGACGTTCTGAGTGCTTCGAAATGCCGTTTTGGCTGTAAAAGTGAGGGAAAATAATAATTTTGTGTCGTGTTTACATATTTAGGGGTGTTCTGGTGAGCCGAGTCGATGTTTTGGTAATATATCGCGGTTAGGGTTCCGCGAAGTTGTAGTGGTGACGTAAATCGGTCAGAGGGTTCATTATCTTTGTAATGAGCCTTTGTTTTATTAAGGATTGCAAGAAACTTGGATAATTTAGTCAGTAAACTCATTAACTGTGTGAAAGTTTCAAATCATTTTAAATTTCAACTTTAAAACATCTTATACTTTGGATTTCAGTCTGGTTATATGTGACAGCTAAGTCAGTGTTGAGTTTCTAAACTTGAAATACTTGCCAGATCTAAGTATTAATTAGATGCAAGTTGTGTTATTTGATAGAAATGCAGAAACATTATATTATTTGTACAATTTTATAAAAAAAATATCTGATTCCAAAATTATTTATAACTTAAAAAATTAAAATATGTGGTACTTAAATGTACAGAGTTTCCATCTAGAATAAACAGATTTAGTTTTTTTATTAATTCAACTGTTATTATTTCCAGTTGTTAGTTAACAGGCAGTATCTATTTGCTAGCCAAACAATAATTGTATTCTACATAAAAAATATAACAGGTTAAAAAATTATTATCTACAAATTGGAAATGATTTAACAAAACTTTATGAAAACATTCATAATTAGATTTTGCCCGTGGTTTCATTTTGGCTACTTGGTTCCCATCAGTTGTAGAGTGAAGTTATATCTATGTCTGCCTCAAAGTTATTATATATACTTCAAATGATATAACCACCAATCAACTTGAGACACATTCAAATAAACATCTTTATAATGTTACTAGCTTCCGCCCGTAAAATCATCCGTATTGTATATTGATAAAAAGCAGCCTATGAGTTAATCCACGGTACCACCTATCTACAATCAAAATTTCAATTATGAGAAAGTTTGCGAAACATACATCCATAGTCAATACATTTTCATAAACTTTTACATTTATAATATTAGTAGAATAGTTTCATGGCTTGGTAAATATGTATTACATTATTCAAAATTCCATTTCCAGATCAGCAAAATGAATCACCATCTGAACCGGGAGAAGGATCCCTTGAGCTACCCAACATACAACTACCAGGCACCCACATACCCATACCCAGACAAACTGCAAGCGATGTATGAGGTGTACGCACAGAATGACACAAGCTTCGTACCCAGAATGCACAGTATGCACAATGCTCAAATTGCACAACCCATACCGGAACCTGTAACAGCACCAGTACTACCAACATCACAAACCGAAGTCAGCAATAATGAAAATTTGAACATACAGCCAACATCGAAGAGAAAAAAGAAAGACAAGAAAGGAGAAAAAAGTACATTCTGTTCTGAAAAAATTACGGATGCCTCGTTCAAGTTCTACGGATGTGCTGTATGCAATATAAGTTACAGTGCACTGCATGAACTCGACCAACACGTCACCATACACAAGAACAGGATGACCAGCTACCGTCTGCGTCTCCGTAACCAATTCAAAAAGAAACAAATAAAAAAAGAAAAGAAGAAGTTAAAAAAATTAAATAAAATTAAAAAAGAAAGTGAACCATACATTGAAATCAAACCTGAAGACGGGTACATAGGTAATGAGAAAGCCTCAGACTTTGTAACGAATAATGAAATAGAGAATAATGGTAATGTTAATAACGGTAACAGTGTAGTAGATAATCAAAATAGTCAATTTAACGGTGGAATGAATTCTGTAAATAACGATGTACAGAATAGTGATAGTTTAAGTAACGGTGATATGTGTAACGGAGTGGATAAAGTGAATGGTAATGTAGAGGATAAGGGTATGAATGAGACGGAGATGAATAATTTGGAGAAGATCTACAAATGCTTTGCGTGTCTGAAGCAGTTCACTCTCAGCTACTACCTCAAGCTCCATGTACGCTCGCATACTGGTGAGTAGTCTTTTCAATATTACAAACGTTATTCCCCAGAGAGCAATGCTTTGGCACGAATGGAATGATACCACTGCCTCGTGGTTAACCGGCATAAAACAACCACAGCGTTGTGTTTTACCATCTGAGTCAGGTTACCGGAGCCCCAATCCTTCCCCTTCCCCTTCCCCAATCCCTCCCCAGTCTCTAAATCTCCAAATCCCTAATTCCTAAAAGGTCGGCAACGCACTTGTAACTCCTCCGTTGCAGGTGTCCATAGGTGGAGCTGATTGCTTACCATCAGGTAATACTTCTGCTCGTTAACCGACCTATTACATAAAAAAGGAGGCCCAATCCTTCCCCTCCCCCAATCCCTCTCCAATTCCTTAATCTCCAAAAGGTCGGCAACGCACTCATAACTCCTCCTTTGTTGCGGGTGTCTAACAGACAATCCGTCCGCTCGTTTGCCAACCACCCTGTTCTTTCTGCAGCTCGAAGAATCCGTCCGTCATTATGCACCCCGAAAGTGGGGTAGACAAGAGCTATGTCGGTCATATTTTTTGTAGTTACTTAAAGGTCGTGCTTCGGCATAGCTGTGTCAGCTCGACCGGAGTTATACCACGGCCTCACAGCGTTGTGTCACACCCTAAGCGTGAAGGCAGCGGAGACCTCATTCCTTATCCTTACTTCCTCACACCCACAAATACCTGACCTACAAAATTTTGGGCAATGCACTCGGAGGCGACTCCACGGAGCCTGATGGTAAGCAATTTGTTCCACTCCAATTTAGCTGCCAAATGATGCGGAGCAGATGGATTACCTAGTTGAAAGCAATCAGCGCTGCCTATGGACAACTGTTACAATTGAGGAGTTAGGATTGCGTTGTCGACCGTTTGGAGATTTAAGGATTGGGGGAGGGGAAGGTTTGGGCCTCCGATAACCTCACTCACACGCTGAAACACAAGACTAGTTGTTTCACGCCGGTTTTCTATGAGGCCGCGGTATCATTCCGGTCGAGATGACCCATTCGTGCCGAAGCATGGCTCTTTCAGACTCCAACAATGCAGAAAATAGTAATTTAAGGCAATTTTAACAGAGTAATTTCTTCCAGACGAGAAGCCATACACATGTGCCGCGTGTGGACAGTCGTTCATCACAGCGAGCAAGCTGGGGCGTCACAACAAGCGGATACACCTCGCCGAGCGATACCAGTGTCGGATCTGCTTTAAGATATTCTCCAGGTCTGTGTAACTGCCAAAATTACGACTAGAATACCATGTTAGCTTTTGTTCGGCAGGTTTTTCGTTGGCAAACGAGCAGACGGATTACCTGATGGTAAGCAATCAGCGCTGCCCATGGACACCTGCAACACCAAAGGAATTACGAGTGCGTTACCGACTACCGTCCTTTTAGGGATAAAGGTTTTGGATATTTAAGGATTGTGAAGAGATGGGGGGAGGTGGACACAGGGGGAGGGATTGGTACTCCGGTAACCTCACTCACACGGCCAAACACAACGCTGTGGTTGCTTCACGCCGGTCTTCTGTAAGGCCGTGGTATCACTCCGAGCCGACCCATTCGTGCCGAAGCTTGGCTCTCCCACTCTTAAAAGCGACACTCTTTCTCCTCCCCTAATCTCCAAATCCCTAATCCCCAAAAGGTCGGCAACGCACTCGTTAATCCTTGGTTGCGGGTGTCCATGGGCGGCGCTGATTGCTTACCATCAGGTATCCGTCTGTTGCGTTTCCCGACCTATAAAATTGCATATAAAAAGATCTAGTTTCGTACAAGTATCGAACCCCTTACTTCAATCTTAAAAGTGTTTCTATCTCTTACAGATTTGAATTGTTGACTGCGCATTTTGACAAGACGCACCCCGAAGACAAGCTGGAGGGAGAGCCTTACGGTACGTTAAAATATATCTTATCACCTAAATCTTAAGATCTATTTTTCTTAAACCTCTATTTTTCTAATTGACTGGGTCTCACTCGTGCTTTTACAATTTTAAATCTTATTGCTTTTATCATTAGGATTAATTTCCTTTGTAACTGTGTATTTTATATATGTATATTTATATAAATCAATGCCACTTTTCGTTGTAATGTTATAACTCAACAATGCCTTTACCGATTTGGCTAATTTTGGTCTTGAATTATTCGTCGAAGTCCAGAGAAGGTTTGTATGTAGAAAAAATTAAAAAAATTGTCATTTACGCGGGCGGAGCCGCGGGCGATCGCTATTATGAATATGAAAAAAATTGAGTTCTCCGAGAAGAAATACTGAAACAAACTCTGAGGTCTCTTTTAAAGTTCAGACAGTCAGAAAAAAATATTGTGTCAGAAATGGCCCACGGCCACGTAAAGAACCACACCAGTTATCATCATCAGCCTATAAGCACCCACTGCTGAGCAAAGGCCTCTTCTTACACGGAGAAGGTTTGAGCATTAATCACCACACTTGCTCAAAGTAGACCAGCGATTTTAAACTCATAATTAGATTTTATTTTGTGATGGGTCGGCTAACGAGCAGACGGATTACCTGATGGTAAGCAATCAACGCCGCCCATGGACACCCGCAACAACAGAGCAGTTACGAGTGCGTTGCCGACCTTTTGGGGATTGGGGATTTGATCATTCAATGACTTCTCCCGCCCAGGGTTGGGCGGAAGGGAGTGTCAGGCTCTTATTGACTAAAAATCACCATCTCCTGCTCTGGGCCGAGACCGCAACCCAGGCTCAGGACATCGCTTCATGGTGGATACCCCACCTACACGCTCTAAGCGGTTCGACTCCAGTTTTATAATCAGAACCGCTAAGGAGTGGAATTCTTTGCCGGAGTCTGTGTTCCCTGAAGGGTATAACCTGGGTGTGGTCAAGGCCCGAGTGAATAGGTTGCTTATGGGTAGTCGTGGTCAATCGGGGGTCGCATCACTGCTTACCATAAGGCGTGATAGCGGCCTAATGCCTTGTAACTAAACCTTACAGAAAACCGGCGTGAAACAACCACTGCGTTACTGTGAGGTTTCCGGATCACCATCCCTTCCTCACCCCCAATCTCCAAATCTCCAAATCCCTAAACTTTTTTATGTTTTTCAACTTTTTTTTTATAAAATGTATTTGCTCCTGTGTCGTGGGTACAAACATACACATCACACCTAGATCCGAAACAATTTGTGGATCACACAAAAAGTTGTTCCATGCGGGAATGCGATACGTTGGCGTGCTCCATCGGAGGTCGCATCACTGCTTACCATCAGGCGTGATGGCGGCCAAATGCCTGCTTCTACCCTGGATCTTAGTGCAACGCTAATATACTTGTAGATTACAACGCGATCCTGCCGTACCTCAAGGAACTTGAAGAACAGCTTCAGCTGGACGAGGCCAAGCCCAGCGCTGACAGCGCGCATAGTCTGTGCTGGGAGGACTCTACGGCGGCACAGGCGGGCCTCACTGAACCTGCGCCGCCTGATATCAAGGAAGAGGTAATACATTTATTTTAATGAGATAAAAGGTCGACGGATTACCTGATGGTAAGTAACAATGGAGGAGTTACGAGTGCGTTAAGGATTTGGAGATTTTGGGATTGGGGAGAGGAAGAATTGGGCCTCCGGTAACCTCACTCACACGGCGAAACACAACGCTGTGGTTGTTTCACGCCGGTTTTCTGTGAGGCCGTGGTATCACTCAGATATAACACATGTATACTAATATAAACTGAAGACAAACACCCGGTTTCCGAAAGGCAGATCAATGTTAAAATCAATTTAATCTCTTGTCAAGTCATCTGATTGGTTGACTGAATTATCAACAACCAATCAGATGACTTGACAAGAGATTTAACAGGAGATTAGTTCATTTTAGCGTTGACAAGCCTTTCAGAAACCGGGTGTTAGTATGTTTACTTGCTTAAACACGCTAGTCTCCGGAACTACTGGTTGGATTTGGACCATTTGTTGATGGATAGACCATAGATCTATAGGAGCCAAGCTGCAAGTGAAACCACGCGGTACGTAGCTAGTTAATTATGTAGGAGAGCCATGCTTCGGCACGAATGGGTCACCTCGACCGGAGTTATACCACGGCCTCACAGAAAACCGGCGTGAAACAACCATAGCGTTGTGTTTCGCCGTGTGAGTGAGGTTACCGGAGGCCCAATTCTGCAAAGCATGGCTCTATCAAGCTCGCTGGGCGACTTAAAATATCTCTGACAGACCAGAAGTAAGGAGCATAACTTATATGGACTGACAAAAAGTCAAAAGTCAAAAATCATTTATTCCAATTAGACCTTTACAGGCACTTTTGAACGTCAAACAAAATTTTGAAGATATAGTGTCAGTCTGTTGGTCAGTCCTCTTAGTGAAGCTATTTGCTCGTTCCAAAGTGTAGATTCCTATGGAGAAGAACGACCAAGAAACTCCATGGTTACTCTTCTTAAATCAGTTTCACATACAGATTCCTTTTACAAACAGTTGGTTCAATTATGTGAGAACAGTGTAACACTAATATTTATTCAAATATAAAAATAAAAATAAAGTGACAATATCATCAAACCCTGCTTAACCTCTCCCCCCCTCCCCCTATAGGTACCAGAAGACGACAAAAAGGACACAATACCGAAAATGGAAATAATGCTTGAAGAGGTGAAGGTAGACTGCGACCTCAAAGTTAAGGAGGAGCTGCTTGATGAGGACGAGGGAGACTTTGGAGGTGTGGGGGTGCTGGAGGACGCGGGGGATCACGGGGACAGTGACGCCGGGGATGCTGGAGATGTTGGGGATTGTGGGGAGGTGGTGGCCGAGGAACCGGACCGTGATGATGATGTAGGAGATGTCAAGAATGAAGATACTGAGTGAGTAGTTTGTTGCGTTTTTAGATTTTTTCAATTTAGATTTTAGTTTAGGCAGTTCATTATTATTTTTAGTTGTGACTAGTGAAATTCTGGTGTTAATCAGTCTGATTAGATAGTTAATTAGATGTTGATTTCCTATACAAAAAGAAAGTAAAAAAATAAGTTGAAATGTATCTAGAATATTAAATACTAGGTACTCTCGCGCGATTTCACTCGCTGCTCGGCTCCATTTGATCGTAACGTGATGTTTTATAGCCTGTAGCACTCGGGAACATTGTAGCTATCTATCAGTAAAAGAATTTTGGCAATCCGACCGGCGGTTGCGAAGATTACCCCCTACATACAAACTTACAAATTTTACCTCTTTATATAGGGTGTAAAAAGACACTTAACGAAGCCGTTAACTATGCATACTGCAGTTCTAACTAAGTAGCTTTACGCTAAAATTATCACTAGGAAACGACTTTTACTTTTAGGTATCAAAAAAAAAAAAAAAATTGTTGCTTGCAGTGTAAAGCAAACGGGCTTCGTGTCATTGTGTGCGTAGGTTCACAGCTTAGCATTAAAACGTTGTGATAAGTACGTAGGTCGACGTTTTACTTCGCAACAACAAAACAATTCTGTAAAATAAAAATCCTACTGAGATGCACGATGTTTTTTGTGCGGGTCTGCATTTATTTATTACGTACATTACTGTTCGTAACTTCAAATGCGTAATTTATTTAGAAATATCGAATATTCAGGTAATGTTTGTTTGGAAAAAAGTTTTGTAATAATACTTAGAATTCGACTGCGCAAAAAAATAAAAATTAAAAATGCATCTTTGACCTTCAATATCTCGAGAACCCGTGGAGTCCCACTTATGGTCTTAAAGAAAAAAATGATCCAAATAATGGGTAGAATACGTGGCTTTCGGCTTCGTTAAGTGTCTTTTTACTGTAATATTAGTACAGATTTATGTTAGAATTAGTTGATATAATTTGCGTAACATTACTTAAAAGACATTATAAGCAAAGCCAAGTTGACACCATTTATTTCAAAAAGACTAAAACAAATATATTAAAAGGTTAAACTTTATGTGTGTCAGTCTGTCGGTCTTCTAGCAAAGCTATTTGCTCGTTCCAAATTCTAACATTCCTATGGAGAAGAACGAGCAAGAAACTCCAAGGAACATGTCGACAGTGGTCTCGTATGAACTGTCCCAATTATCTTCCTTAGCGCGTCAGATGAGGATTACTTCCCAAGCAATACGTGGGCAGCCCCTCCCCCCTCCTCGCCAGAGGGCGGCGGGGGCGCGGGACGGGGGCGCGGTCGGGGGCGCGGGGGGCGCACATGCCCGGTTTGCAACAAGAGCGTGAGCAGTGCGTCGTACCTGCGCGTGCACCTGCGCACGCACTCGGGGGAGCGCCCCTACACCTGCACGCACTGCGGACGCGGGTTCATCACCAGCTCCAAGATGCATCGACATGTACTCACACACCAAGGTAAGGGGACGCAGCATATAATACTTCGTTTTCTTTCTTAGTCCGCAGTCCATAAATTACGTGAGGTTTTTTTTTAATTTTCTGCCCCTCCCTCCCCCCTTGATGAGATGTCGTGAAATTTTATTCAAGCCGGAAGGGGTTGAATGAAATCTCCCATCCCCGAATCTCACGTGAGATTTACGGGGGATAGGGGAGGGAGAGGGAAGGAGAGAAAGAAAAAAACAAATTTGCATCGTCCTTTTATTAGTAAATGATCTTAATCATACTAAGAGATTAAATCTTAAGCATGTACAATCTGGATTAAATAGACCAAAATAATATATTTTTTTTGGTTCAATCAGAAAAACAATTGCGTGATATTTGCCGAGAACCGAAACCTCTCTCCAACGTTAGATTAGATGAAATTTGACTCGACCCCCTACTACTACGACTCTCCATTGTACTCCATTATCCTTCTCTGCATCCTAATACACTGCAATTTAATTACTTACGCCCTGTCCACTACACATAAATCTCTACGATAACCCAACTCCACTATACTTCTCCAAAGTAAGAATATCCAACATATTCATTTATAAAATCAGAAACAGTAATATAAAAGCTTTTTGATAAATAAAACTGACTCTTACGTGCTTACAGATAAAGGCGAGATCAAAACGGAAGGTGACACCAAAGAGGAAGCGAGTGAGAAAGGAATAGCGACAGAAGAAGGAGAAAAAAAGTAAGTACTTTGACTGTGTCTTATTCAATCAGTTTATAAGTACCTACTTATATAACGCTAGCTTTCGCCCGCGACTTTGTTCGCGTGGAATAGTGACTTCCTGCAGATTTTTGGTTTAAAAACTATCCTATGTCCTTTCTCGAGTTCCAAACTACATATGTCTGTACCAAATTTCACAGAAATCAGTTCAGTAGTTTAGGCGTGAAGAAAAGACAGACAGACAGAGTTACTTTCGCATTTACAATATTATAGTTTGGACAAGAGAAAAACAATGAATTATAACCTGTTAGTATAAATATATAAATTAAATTAATATTTTTCTGTGAGGTTAAAATCATCCAATAACTTCTCCCGCTCAGAGTAAGGCGAGAGAGAGTGTCAGACTCTTACTGACTAAAAATCCCCCCGTTGCTTCTCTTTCTGTTATGAATGCTGTCTCTAATCGCATTACAGACATCATCAGCCTGTAAGTGCCCACTGCTGAGCAAAAGCTTCTTGTCAAACGAAAAATTTAATATTTAAAAACCCCCGACGAAAATATTCCTTTAAAAAGTAATAATTAAAAGAAAACGTGGCGTTGGGGGACCGATCCAACCATTTTCTACATACTTCATTGTGTCGGGGGTCTAATTTATTTTTTTATATTATAGTTTTTATAGGTATTTTATATCATTTTGTATCGTATCAGACCTTCGGTTACCCTTCCCCACTTGCCCCCCATAACTTCTAAACAGTTCAACCGATTTTCGTCAAACATGTCTAAGAACACTCGCACGTAAGTCACCTTTAATACAAAAAAAAACTGACCCGTTCAGGCTTCAGGATACCACAGACAGACAGACAGACAGACACGTCAAACTTATAACACCCCTCTTTCTGCGTCGGGGGTTAAAAAGGTTTGAGCATTAATCACTACGCTCGCTCAAGGCAACTTAAGTCTAGGTTTCCTCACGATGTTTTTCTTCACCGTATGTCAGTGGTGTCTAAATAATCATAGAAAGTACATATACCTTGGAGAAAGTCACATTGGTTCTTGTGTGAGAAGAGGCCTTTGCTCGGCTATGGGCACTTATAGACTGATGATGATGATGATGTATTGACTATAGATGGATTAATGTTATATTATTAACTCGCAGACCAGTAAAGAAACGCGGTCGCAAACCCAAGTCCGAGGCGCAGCCCCCGGCGGAGGGAGGGAAGCGCAAGCATCAGAAGCGACCCCACGCGTGCGAGTACTGCAACCAGAAGTAAGTGTACAGCTTTTTTATGTGAAACTTTTCGAGTAACGCTCGGATAGTTTCGAGTGACACCGGAACTCTTGTTCTGAGCTACGGCCATAGATTGATTACTGGTAGTCTATGTGTGTCTGACCTCCAGACTATAATCTATCTGTGTGCCAAATTACATTCAGATCCGTTCAGTAGTGTTTACGTGAGAGAGTAACAAACATCCATACTGTAGCGTTTATGATAAAATTGTTTCCTCCAGATTCCTTCATTTAAAAATGTTGGAAGTTCACCGCGAAACGCACTCGGAATCGGAGCGTGTGCTACGCTGTCAGTTCTGCCTGGCAGAGCTGGCAGACTTGGCTGAAAAGGCGGAGCACGAGGCCCAGCATACGGGACCGAAGCCCTACCTCTGCACCATCTGCGGGAAGACATACAAGAAGAGGGAAACTATGGTATGTTTACATTTATGTAAAATTCAATCCTCCAAAAAACAGTCAAAGTCAAAGTCAAAATCATTTATTCCAACTAAACCACAAATAGGTACTTTTGAAACGTCAAAATAGAATAGTAGTCTGTCAGTCTGTTCGTCAGTGAAGCTAGGTGCTCGTTCCAAATTGTAGATTCAAATGGAGAGGAACGAGCAAGAAACTCCATCGTTGTTACTCCCAATTGTGAAACAGTGGTTCCGTTTTAGTCCTTTTTTGTGTAGGGAAAAATCATCAAATGACTTCTCCCGCTCAGGGTATGGCAAAGGGAGAATCAGACTCTTACTTAACCCCCCCCCCATCATACCTTCTGCTATAGGTCGGGGCCGTGGTGAGTGTTTGCGTTTGACCCATGACCCCGGCTAAGCATTGGCTATGTAGAGCTCCATCTGTGATGGTTTCATCTATAGTGGCTCTTTGAGGCGGATCTAAAATGCCCTACATCTCTCTTTTTCTGAATTGTTATCGTTATTGGGTATAATTTTCGCTAGATTTGTGATACTTACTTGTCAGTCCGGTGTGTGGGACAGTCGCGGAGAACAAAGATATTTGCTATGGTTGACGCTTACAATAGGGGGCTAAATAACTAGGAGACGTAGGAGAATCAAGAAAAGCGAATAAAGTTTTCGCGAAATTTACTTAATGTGATACTGTGTGCGGTACTTACTGAATGTGATACTCACTGTATGCGATACTTACTGAATGTGATACTTACTGAATGTTGTGATAGTTACTGTCTGTGATACTGGGTACACACTTACTGGATGCGTAAGTCACTGTATGTGATACTTACTAGTTACTAGTTGTGATAGTACTGGCTCCAATACTGGTTGTGATAGTTATTGTCTGTGATACTGGTTTTAATAGCTATTTTCAATGGTACTGGATGCGATAATTACTGAATGCAATACTCACTGTATGCGATACTTGCTGAATGTGATACTTACTTTATGAGATACTTACTGAATGTGATACTTACTGACTGTGATCTTACTGAATGTGATACTCTCTGTAAGCGATACTTACTGAATGTGATACTTACCGAATGTGATGCTTACTGACTGTGATACTTACTGAATGTGATGCTTACTGAATGTGATACATGCTGACTGTGATACTCTCTGTAAGCGATACTTACTGAATGTGATACATACTGACTGTGATACTCTCTGTAAGCGATACTTACTGAATGTGATGCTTACTGAATGTGATACTTACTGACTGTGATCTTACTGAATGTGAAACTTACTGAATGTGATACTTACTGAATGTGATACTTACTGTGTGTTATACTTACTGAATGTGATACTTACTGAATATGATACTCACTGTAAGCGATACTTACTGAATGTGATGCTTACTGTGTGTGATCTCACTGAATGTGATACTCTCTGTAAGCGATACTTACTGGTTGCAGTTTTAACTGAATGTGATGTTGGCTGTGATAGTTTTTGTCTGTGATACTTAGTTACTGAATGTAGAATTTACGGTTTGTGATACTTACTGAATGTGATACTCTCTGTAAGCGATACTTACTGAATGTCATACTTACTGTATGTGATACTTACTGAATGTGATACTTACTGAATGTGATGCTTACTGAATGTGATACTTACTGAATGTGATACTTACTGAATGTGAAACTCTCTGTAAGCGATACTTACTGAATGTGATACTTATTGAATGTGATGCTTACTGAATGTGATACTTACTGAATGTGATGCTTACTGAATGTGATACTCTCTGTAAGCGATACTTACTGAATGTGATACTTATTGAATGTGATGCTTACTGAATGTGATACTTACTGAATGTGATCTCACTGAATGTGATACTCTCTGTAAGCGATACTTACTGAATGTGATACTTACTGAATGTGATGCTTACTGAATGTGATACTTACTGACTGTGATCTCACTGAATGTGATACTCTCTGTAAGCGATACTTACTGGTTGTGAAATTAACTGAATGTGATGTTGGCTGTGATAGTTTTTGTCTGTGATACTTAGTTACTGAATGTAGAACTTACGGTTTGTGATACTTACTGAATGTGATACTTACTGTTTGCGATTCTTACTGATTGTGTAATTAATTGAATGTGATACTGGCTTTTATGTTTACTGTCTGTTATACTTACTGAATGTGATAATCACTGTATACGATAGTTACTGAATGTAGAACTCACGGTTTGCGATTCTTACTCCAAAGCCGGCCTTCTGATTAGCTTGCTTATAGCGTCGTCACTGTTATCAGTGTAGTACATACAACTGTTCGTGTGACGCGTTATTGCTAGTACCGCGTGTGGTACGCTATTATGTATTTTTTGCCTCTGAATTGCCGTATTCACAATAACCACTGTCGCACACGAAAGACCCCGAGCCTCGTGTATAATGAGGACGCGTGATCCCACGCCTGACCCGTATCCCTGGCTCTTAATGGTTTCCGTTTCGACCTGTGTGTGTGAAATAGTTCACTGGTTTGGTGTAAATAACTTATTACTAAACGAAACTAAAACTAAATGTATTAAATTCACAACACCAAATGTTAAACAGGTAAAAACCAGTGTGCTTGTCAAGGGCGAGGAGTTGAGTCCTGTAGATACAACTGTCGCTAAGCTCCAGTGGGGCCCACATATAGATGGCTACGAGTATATGCCGCTGTATACTGTATTAAGAGCATATGCCACGTCCATTGGGTTTCTGTAAGTACATAGCAATTCCTGGCTTACGGATGTGATAAGTGTGGGGCGGCTGTAGACGAGAGGGAAGAGGTTGTCTCGATCAATGAACGAGAGCTGATTCATGTCACCGACAAGCAGAACTTCCTTAGCTTGAGTTAATCGGGCGGCCATCACAATGGCCCCAAAGTGGTTCATGAGAGCCTCATCCACCATAAGTCGACGACAGCTCCCACGCCTCTCCAAGCCTCCAACCAAGATGGACGCCATTGTTCGGACCCTCGATTTCACTAATCCTCCAATTCCATAGGATAGTTTTCCTCTAACTCTGGCTTTGATGGTTACTATCTATAATACTTTCTGAATGTGATAATACGACGGTTTGCGATACTTATCGAATATGATACTACTGTATGCGATGCTTACTGGATGTGATAAGTACTGGTATTTTCAGAATGTGATACTACTGGCTGGGATATTTACTAGTTGTGATATCTATACTAATATTATAAAGAGGTAAAATTTGTAAGTTTGTATGTAGGGGTAATCTTTGGAACCGCTGGTCGGATTGCCAAAATTCTTTCACTGATAGATAGCTACAATGTTCCTGAGTACTATAGGCTATAAAACATCACGCTTCGATGAAATGGAGCTGAGCAGCGGGTGAAACCGCGCGGGAGTAGCTAGTTTATAATAAAATCCTAAGATCCTTAAGTATGGTGTATCTTAACTTGTTCTTATTAATAAAATGTTTCCGAGTCCAGTCTGACGTAGTGAGGCCAAAGTCTTCCTCCAACATTTTCCATTGTCTATCTCTAGCTTCAGTTCTCAATCATAATGAGTACAATGTCAAAATCATTTATTCCAACTAAACCATTAATAGGTATTTTAGAAAAAGAATAACAATGAAACAATGAATTTATTTTTGCAAATATGCCAAAAAACGGCACTTTTACACGTCAAATTATATGTGAAAAACTAGATGAAGCCGGAATATGTGAAAAACTAAATAGTAGTCTGTCAGTCTGTTTGTCAGTGAAGCTAGGTTTTGGGTTGTATCTATTTGAATGTCAGAGATAAATAAAAGTTCAGAACACCACTGGAAAATTATATTGTTCATACCAAGACACACAGAATGATTATATAAAAGTTCGAGTTTAACAAAAGTTCCGGCCCAGCACACCGTTACACGAAGACTGGCTTATATTCTAATTTAAGGAGGGAATAGCAATACGATACGACGCTCTACGCACACAGCCATGCACATGCATTTACATAGGTGTGTACGTGAGTGTCCCTACACTAGGTGCAATAAAACAATGATTCTAGTTTAAATTAAATTTATTTTTCTACAGTCTCATAAAAATCGATACATTTAGTACCCATCAACTCGCTTTCATCCTCGAATTTGTCTTTTTTTGTAAGGGGAAAATCATCAAATGACTTCCCTCGCCTAGGTTGAGGCGATAGGGAGTGTCAGACTCTTACTGACTAAACCCGTTCCTTCTCCTGCTTTAGCCCGAGGCCGTGGTGACTTATTTATCCCACAACCCCCCGGCTGAACATCAGCCTTATAGGGCGGAGAGTCCTGGAAATTCTTGTCTCTGGGCTGTTTCTTGGGTCGAGGCAGCAATTAATCTGTAGAATAGGGGTAGAGGCGGGGGGAAGCCTGCTTCTCCAATGGCCGCTAACCCAACTTCGGCTTTGTGTGCAGAAGCATTTTTCTGATGAAATTGTCTCGGCGTTTGCCCCGTCTTTTTTCTTCTTTATGGCATAGGAAGAGCACGTTATAGCAACTCACTTTTTTTAGATAATCGACCATTATGATTCCTCACCATCCATTGGAACGGTCGCCATAACCTTGCCCGCCGAGGTCGGACCTTTGAACTTTTTCGGCGACGGTGACGATGGCCTTTTCCAAGTCATTGATTGTTGTTTGGTATCAGGATCAAAATTATGGGTCTGTGTTTCGTCCAAAGTCACAAATCGAGACATAATTTTGTTTCTTCGTCAGCCTGGGTCTTTGCTGCAAGATTGACTTTTGAAATGTCAACTCGCTTTTTTAACATTCTCGGTACCTAACACGAGGTGACCATCTTCATAGTTGCTTGCTTGCATGCTTTGAATTCTGCCATATGAGATTACTCTGACCTTTGCTAAAAGTCTGACGGTTACTTTTCTTCAGTCTGCTAAACAATATCTTTGATTTTTTCACGTTTTCCTAGGAGAGGGACGAGTTTGAATATTATTATCACCTTAGTTTTGGACCTCTCTATGGAAAGCCCCACCTCATTTAAACGTTTCAATCGGTCCAGGAGTGTAATCATCCCACTCGTTTGCTGCAATTAGGCAGGTGCCATCGGCGTATCGTACATTGGTGATTTTTACACTACCAACTGTGACACCATCTATCCTATGCTCTTAAGTACATCTCATTACGTACTCTTTGTAGATGTTAAACAGAATGGGCGACAAAATGCTACCCTGGTGTACACCTTGGTAAAATTTAAAGGGCTTAGACATTTTTCTATCAAGTCTTATAACTTGGTTCTATATTCTTGGTTCTATCAATAGATGGTTCGAAGTTGAGCGATGTGATGACTAGTTACTCCCAGTTTTCGTAGGGCATTCCTTAAGCAGGTCCAGTTGCCACAGTCGAAAGCCTTGCTATGTTTGAGAATGTGAACCTCTCTGCAGACGTACCACCGCAAGCGGCACGCGGGCGCGCGCGCCTGGGTGTGCGAGGTATGCTCGCGCGCGTTCCCCGCGGCGTGCAAGTTGCGCGCGCACGCGGCGCGTCACGCGGCGCGCTACGTGCTGCGCTACGAGTGCCCCGTGTGCGCACACATGTTCCACACGCGCTACCACGTGCACATGCACCTGGGCACGCACCAGCGCGAGGGGCTCGTGGCGCCGCACCAGCGCGCGCAGCTCCTGGCCATGGTGCTGCACAACGCGCGCAGGATCCCGCGCCACGGCGCGCCCGCGCTGTCCGGCCCCGCGCCCGCCGACGAGCGCTCGCGCGTCTGCAACATCTGCGGCGAGCTCTTCCAGCACTTCTACTACCTGGAGGAGCACCTCAAGACCCACGGCTCGCGCATCGCTCTGGAAGACTTCGACCGGCCCGAGGACAAGAAGTACGTCTGTCCCGTCTGCAACAAGGGCTTCAAGCTCCACTACTACCTGAAGCTGCACAGCTTCACGCACTCCAAGGAGAAGCCGTTCATATGCCAGCAGTGCGGGAAGGGGTTCATCACGAAGGGTAAGCTGAAGAGGCACCTGGAGACCCACACGGGGCTGAAGAAGTACCAGTGCCACATCTGCTGCAAGTTCTTCACGAGGCCGAGCTACTTGCGCATCCACATCCGCACCATCCACGGCACGCAGGACTACAACTTCAGACTGGACAAGGCGTACGGGCTGGACTCGATGGCCGCAGCCCCCCCGTCTGACCCCGGCCCCCTCGCCACCTCGGCGCTCCAGCACTAGGCTTAGTATTACTCTGTTGTAAACAAACTTGTTGATTTTGTAAACATTAAATTCATTTACTTTTTTATCCGGCTCGTTTCTTTTCCTCGTTTCACCCTGTATAAACAAAGACTTTTTGATGAGATTAGATGCCACTAATTTGCAACATATCATTGATATGGAGTTGGAACAGAGTGGGCGATAGTACGCAGCCTTGAGGGACACCAGCGTTCACAGGCAAGCAATCAGAGCATTCATCGTCGAAAGGAAGGAAGGGACCACCATAGAAGGCCTTCGCTGCGTCCACACTGACTGCCGTCTGTAATACGGTAGTTTCCAACTAGTCAAATTCAATACTTTTATCCAAACGTCAAAATGATACCTTTCTATGAAATTTGTATGAAACGCAGAGTTACGACGTCATAGTATTTTTAAAATTTGTTAATATATATCTAAAACTTAGTGTATCGATTGATCGATGAATAAAAATATAGTTATTTATCATTATTTTATTGTATTAAAAAGTAGAATTAATTTATTAGACCTAGGAAACCACCCAATCGGGTAGACCAAAGCTGTCTTCCATTACGTCGGGACTACGCCTGAAGAGTAGGGCCTCCGGTACCCTCACTCACTTGACGAAAAACAACTAAAGCGTTGCTACACGTCAATTTCTAATCTATAGATACTAATATTATAAAGAGGTGAAAATTGTCTTAACTTTGGACCCGCAGCAGGACGGATTTCCAAAATTCTTTCACTGATAGATAGCTACAATGTTCCGGAGCTATAAATTATACTTGATTTTCGTATTAATTTTTTATCACCTGATGGTAAGCAATAAACGCCACCCACCCGAGGAGAACACGACAATAACTGAGGAGTTACGAGTACTTGGCCGTCCTTTTGGGAATTTAGGGATTGTGGAGAGGAAGGATTGTGCCTCCGGCTGGATATTTCAGTCATGATAATGACAATCCAAAAATAATGCTTCTATATAAACTATTTGTTTAAATAATAATAATAAAAAACCGGCTAAGAACGTATCGGGCTACGCTCAGGCTCAGTACAGGGTTTCGTAGTTACCCGTCTGTCAGGATACAGGGCCGTCAGCAAGGCAGCAAGCTGTTGGCGGCGCGCGGTCATGTCCTGTGGGTTACGCCGCTAGGAGTCGCGCTCGAGCCTGGGCGAGCCCGGCGAGCAGCGAGCTGTTAGCGGCGCGTCGTCGAGTCCGGTGTGGGCGGAGTCTCTACCAGCCGGCCTGACGCGGGCGGGCGGGAGACTCACGCGGCGTCCGATAGATCGGTCGTGCGACCAGGTCTCGCGGGAGGCCGAGGCCGTCAGGGGGGCGCCGGTGGTATGGCGCCGGTTAAAATACAAAACTTAGTTCAGTTTTATTTTTGTACCATATTTCAAAATCTGTTCAACTCGTCAAGTTCAAAATATGTAAATTTCCTAGAAAGTATTTATAAAGTTCAACTTTTTAGATTTTTTCAATATTTTCTAAACCGCAAATATTTACCTATAGGATAATCAATTATCAAAAATGGTCTCGGTAAACCCATTTCAGGGTTTCGTAGTAAACATGTGATTTTTAAGCAGAACCTTCTGAATGCAAGCAAATGTAGAATTATGAATAGATGTTATTGAATAAGAGGATCGATTTGAATATTGTATTGGAGGCTCGGATCTCAGTGTACCTAGTCGTTATTACGAATAGAGAAACTTGAATGCATTCACCTATTCAAATAGAGTCAATATCAGTCATGGATGTCATTAATCTGATCGTCAGGCTACAACAGTCGGTAGACTCAGTGATCAAGTACCGAGTCATGATGTAACCGCAGCGCGGACGCGGCAGCGTATAGCACGCGCCTCATTTATTTGCCCATATTTAGGAGTGCAAGTCTAACTGTGTGTGTGTGACGTAGGTATTTCGTATTTTCGTCGCTAATTACGGTAATCGTATAATTGCGGCACTTATCCTTATTAGATAGCTTTCAGTTTTAAGGAAATTAAAATAAAAGGATAACTACAACTAGAATCAGTTGCTATCAGGTTTCCATCGAGAGCACAGCAAAATACTTGATCAAATTGTAGTTGTTTGAAGTGTAAGAAATAATGGGTGACAAGTTGGTGTGGTTGACTGGGTTTGGGCCTTTCGAAGGTGCTCTTGTCAACGACAGCTGGGTAGGGGTGAAACAAATGCCAACACAGTGCATTAAGAAGGAGTTCGGAGCCGTTGTGTTGAAACAGAGAATTCCAGTGAAGTATTCCTTCGTGGATTACTTTATACCTTACAGGTGGGCGGTGTTGCAGCCTGATGTGAGTAAAGCATTTCATGATAAACATTCAATCTCTCTACTTAATGTGCATTTAGTACGAATGTAGTAACTACTGTTAAGTTCAGAGCTCACTCTCGTGACTATGAGGCAAGATAACTCAAGGTGTTCCAAGCCACGCTATTCATTAAAATATGTGAGACCCAAGGCTCAGCATTATTTTAAAAAAATATCACGGTTTTCTTCTGAGAACTTTATTTTAACCTAAATTTACCGAAGAGCGATATATTTGTGGTTTACATCGGCATGCGTCCCTTGGGGAGACCATGCAGCGATGTGATTGGATTGGGAGCAACACCACGGCCTCACAGCTACTCTTGCGCGGTTTCACTCGCTGCTCGGCTCAATTTGATCGTAGCGCGATGATTTGTAGCCTATAGCACTCAGGAACATTGTAGCTATCTATCAGTGAAAGAATTGTAGCAATCCGACCAGCGGTTCCAAATTTTACCCCTACATAAAAACTTACAAAATTTCCCTCTTTATAGAATTACTAGCTCTTACCCGCGGCGTCGCTCTCGTCATTTGACTACCTACCCTACTCTACTTACCCTACCTACCCTACTTTACCTACTCTACCCTACCTACCCTACTCTACCTACACTACTCTACCTACCCTACTCTACCTACCCTACTTTACCTAACCTACTATAACTACCCTACTCTACCGACCCTAGTCTACCTACCCAACTCTACCTACCCTACTCTACCTACCCTACTCTACCTAACCTACTCTACCTACCCTACTCTACCTACCCTACTCTACCTACCCTACTCTACCTAACCTACTCTACCTACTCTACTCTACCTACCCTACTCTACCTACCCTACTCTACCTACCCTACTCTACCTAACCTACTCTACCTACTCTACTCTACCTACCCTACTCTACCTAGCCTACTCTACCTAACCTACTCTACCTACCCTACTCTACCTAACCTACTCTACCTACTCTATCCTATCCTATCCTATGTCCATCTCCTGGCTCTAAACTACTTCCATGCCAATTTTCAGCTAAATCGTTTCAGCCGTTCTTGAGTTATAAGTGGTGTAACTAACACGACTTTCTTTTATATAGTATACAGGGTGTAAGGGACAGCCTTCCGCAAACTGATAGGGTGGATTCAGTATATCGTCTTAAGTTGACCGGTACATGAAATTATTTCAGGAACGTTATGGGAATCCAATTAAACCGATTTGTTTCATTACCTTACACGCAATGTATCGCTACCACCGCAAACGCACGCAGCGAACGGCAGCGCTTTTAGTATTATTACTTTACACTATGGGCAGCGCCGCGACCTAACGTTCAGACAAACGGTCGCGCTCGCGCCACGTTTTAATAACAATAAATTATTATTTAAAAGATAGCCACATTACTTACAAAAGACAATGTAATAATCGCGCTCGCGCCACGTTTTAATAACAATAAATTATTATTTAAAAGATAGCTGCATTACTTACAAAAAAAATCTAACAATCATAACATGGTAACTGATAAATGATAAAAAAAGAAAAATGCGTAGGTACCTTAGAATCGCTCCGGTTTCCGGCTCTGGAAAGCATTTGTGATGCGGTCTCGCATTTCGTACTCACTTGCACACGCACTCACAAACACTTTTTCTTTTACGTAACCCCACAAAAAGGGTTCCAAATGGGTTAGGTCTGGGGATCGTGCTGGCCACGGTTGCGGTCCAAACCTACCTAAACTACGTTTAAATAGGAAAGCACTGGTAAGTGGTAGCGTCTCGTTACGTTAGCGAACCAATTCCAAAATCCACGCAGGTATTGGTCTTCCGGCGCCTTTTTGTCTGGGAACAATGGGCTGGTTTTCTAGCAAGCGTTGATAGTCACCAGTAATTATCCTGGAGTCTGATGGATGGATGGCGACGGTCAGGATACCTACACTACTACAACACATTATGTTAAACGTACCTAGGTAGTAATTTCGCACAATTTCTACAACAAAACTTCACTACACTTCACACACTACATAACTAATAAAACTTAACAACACTACTTATAACAAAACTTTTAAGCCGAATGCGCGAGCGATCCGTACCAACACACGCTCGCGGAACATAAACAATAACATCGCAGCAAGGCACAATGGCGACTGCATGTGATGAGACACACACAAACATAAATCTGTTGTTGCCAATATTACACGAAAATTACAAAATTTCGGGGTAAAAAATAAAAAATTATGCATGGTCGTAATTTATCATTCTGTTATTTTTTGTAGAGAAATGAATTGATTAAATCAATTTAATTCTAATTTCATTGTTTAGTTAATTTAGAATAATAAAAGTGCAGTGTGATAGAAAGCTGTGCTTCCATTCCAGGGAGATTGTGTTTAATTTCTGGCTCGACTATCAATTCATGGCTATTGTGAAGCCATGCAAAAATCTGTAAGTAGTTTAAAAACTAGCCAGTAATCGCTTAAAAAGAACAATCAATTAATAAATTAGGTAGTATTTGTAAATGCTTTAAAATTAAAACTAGACTAATCTTTATTTATTTCTTATTCAATTTATGTGCGCGACAAGATTTTCATTAATTGTTTAATGAAAATCTCATCAACGTAATTATGAATGCAAAGGAGTTCTCAAGTTTTAGATAAATTTCGCTAGTTCTAACATTTTCGTTTACTACCTGAGGTAACAAAAGTTAAAAATTGGCAACACTGGTTCAATCGGGCAAACATTGTGCAAAGAATCGGGGAGACGGGGAGACGCGGAGGCGAGGCGATAGAAAGGGACGCAGCTATTCTGTCCGTTGGACGGGATCGTAGGTATTATACCTAGGGCGCGCGGCGCGGCGATCGGCGCGGTGGGGCGCCGAGCCGCTGCGCCGTGACCGCGGTGCGGTGAGTTCAAACGACTCGCGCTAGGTAGAAATTGAACAGCTGATTTCATGCGTAGTTCTTTAGAGAATTCACACAACCATTGCGTATTTTTTTGTTTTAGCTGTGTTATTTACATTAATGTTATTCTTCATACATAGAATGTAATTACACATTGAAATAGAGGTGTAGGAACTGAAAAAACGAAAAAAAAATTGAAAATTTTCCTGAAAGAATTTTCACTGGAATATGATTCAGAATTTGGAGCTGAATGCACCCTGTTAATTTGTGGAGGGCTGTCCCTTACACCCTGTATATAGATAGTATAGACTATTGACCCACATAGGCTTCGCACGGGTGCAATGCTGATACTAAATTTGTCCACTATTTAATGGATGTACATATAAACCTTCATTCTAAAATCAGTTCATATATTGAAAAATTTGCATCGAAATTCGTTGCGTTAAAGATTTAAGCATACATAGGGACTTTTTTTTGTACTATGTAGTGATGTGGATCTCTATACATGTTTCCAGCTGACTATACACGTAGGTGTCTCCAATGCAGTCGACTGCTTCACGTTAGAGACGCAGGCATACAAATCCGGCTACACACTCTCGGACGTGGAAGGGAGGACTCCCTCCCGCGGTATAAACAGCACTACTGGACCCGATGTACTCCGTACTAACCTTGACGTTGACGGCATTTGCAAGGATTTCAACGATCTCAATTTGGACGGAGGCTCTCTTCAGGCTAGAGTATCGAATGACCCGGGCAGGTGCGTACTATTTAACTATTTTTTTAAAGGGTATATTTATTAAATGGCTTCTCCCATACCTCGTGGTATCTTGTCAGACTCTTACTGACTTAAAACCATTTCTGGACTGCGCACATCGCGTGCTTAAATCAGCAACCACGGCAGTACTTCGGCCCTAGTGGGGCCCATCTGCGGTAGCTGGTGGTTACTCATATAATACAACAGAGTGGCAAATGTGATGAAATTCACCTGATGGTAAGCAATCAGCGTCGTCTATGGACACTCGAAACACTACAGGAGTTGCAGGCCTTTTGGAATTTGTCGGTCAGAATTGCAATCTCCAAACTGATGGCAAAGGATTATAATCATATCAAGGAGGTGACCTTTGGAGAAGAATACAATTATCATCTCCCCTCTCTTTACGTGATAGGATAGCAAACGAGCAGACGTATTATCTGATGGTAAGCAATCAGCGCTGCCCATGGACACCCGCACCAACGGAAGAGTTACGAGTGCGTTGCCGGCCCTTTGGGGATAAGGGTTTCGGGGATTACGGGATTGGGAGCAGGGTCCGGTCTAGCCGAAGCATGGATCTCCCACACTTAAAAATCGTCTTCACGCGGATGGATGTCTTTAGAATGGACTCTGATAGACCTGATCGTTGAGGACACAATGTGTCTATAGCCAAGTTCATGTTGCAGGTTCCTCTGCAGTTACATCTACTACACATCCCTCGGCCACGGCGTCACGCTGTTCGTGCACGTCCCCCTCAACAAGTACTCCCCTGACCAGCTCGGCTGCGGACTGTCCCACATCGTGCAGCTGACTCTCAGTCACATGAACCAACACAAATAGACCACAAACGCACCCAATAAACTACCAAAGATAATAAAGTATTAACATTATTATTGATAAAAGATTCAATCCATCAATTTCGTTTTCATTTCATTCTTCACAATGAACTAATTTAAATACTTTTTTCAACAGACTTCCTCATTGAGTGGCTCTAATCCACTTCCTCATTACTATTATTCATTATTATGTTATTACTATTATTATTTTATTTAGAGGTACCTATGTTGAAAAAAATTATGAATGTGGTGGTGGCCCGGAGGTTAAGAAGCCCGCTTCTCATGCACAAGGTTTTGGGTCCGAAACCTGGCAAGTAGCAATGTGACTTTTTTCGAGTTATACTTTCTATGATTATTAAGACACCACTGACATACGGTGAAGGTAAACATCGTGAGGAAACCTGGATTTATAAATTTCTAATTATAAGTTTAAAATCGCCAGCCCGCATTGAGCAAGCGTGGTGATTAATGCTCTAACCTTCTCCGTATGAGAAGAGGCCTTTGCTCAGCAGTGGGCACTTGATAATTAATAATTACCGTAATCACCAACATTACACACTTGTTCTATAATATAGGAAGTTATGTTTAGCGGAAGGAAAAATATGATTGTTATAATACGCACATACCTATTCTAATAATACTGTAGGACGTGTTGGTGTCATCAACCTTTGAGGAAGAGCAGCCATGTCTCGGCACTGACGTGAATTCCATGGACACCAGCAACACCAAAGGAGCTACGAGTGCATTGCCGACCTTTTAAGCATTAAGGATTTGGAGATTTAGGGATTGGGGAAGGGGACGGATTGGGTCCTGTTACCTCACTCACACGGCTAAACACAAAGTTGTAGTTGTTTCACGCCGGTTTTCTGTGAGGCCGTGGTATCACTCCGGTCAAGCCGACCTATCCGTGCCCAATCATGGCTCTCCCACACTTCAGTTTATGATTACCGATAACTATACCCTACTTACATCTTTGCCAAGAGGTTCCTTCCACTTCTACACTTGAGGTCTGTTGTAAAACATCAAACTCTATGCTAATTTTAAGAAGTCAAAAGAAGAAAATAATATTTAACTGACATTTTGTGTGCCATAGAGTTGTTGTTTTGAAGAAAAATTGCAAAATTATCCTGCGCAAAATAACTGTACCAAATTTTTGACCTTTTGTAAAATGTGTCAAAGATAAACTATAAATTATAAATTGAACCACATGAGGACTAGTAGTGACCAATGGAGCAATGGAGCTTCCGTCTGAAGCTTGGAGGGTGAAGGTACCACATACACTCGTAAGTTTTTAATATTTATACATTTATACCATTTCTGTCTGGTTCCGAGGTGTGAATAGTGTTTTAAAATGATCTGAGTATTGTTTTATTTCAGCATCCTAAAAGCTGGCATCCAGGGAGACACACAAAAGAACAAAATGTGTCCAAAGTAAGTACTTAAATAGTATAATCGTTTAAACAAATAATAATATTTATAACTAGCGACTGGCTCCGGCTTACGTAGTAACTATTCAGTAATGCTGTTACTAAATTTCTTTACTATTTAATGGATGTTATAATACATTACCTTACTCTTCAATCAGTATCTTAAAAAAAACCGCATCATAATCCGTTGCGTAATTTTAAAGATTTTTGCATACATAGGGACAGAGAATGCGACTTTGTTTTATACTATGTAGTGATAATTTCTGCCCTTAGAGTTATTTCCGTTATTGTTGACAATTTTCACTGAAAATACCTAACGTGGGATTAATAATGAGCAGACCTCCAAGCTTCATTTGCCATTGCTTGCCCTGTGCTCGATAAATTTTAATTTCGAATATACTAAGTAATTCTACAGACCATGTCTATTGATTGTTCACGCTCTAAATATATCACCCAACTTAACTTATGTCGAAAACTATGTATATTTCCAGAACAGCGAGGGCAAACAGAATGTGACCTGGTGTCTGTTCAGTCGGAAGAAAAAGAAGTGCTATGAAGAGGAGTCACCCTCACTACTGTCCCTGGCAAACAATTTAAATAGGAACTGTTGCCGCTGCTGCTGGATATTCGTAAAATATGTCAAAGAAGTTTTTAGGTGCGTATACTGTTTGTTGAACTTTCAACTCCCGTATATGTGCTTTGAGAATATGTTCTGTGCGTTGGTTGACGCGACCTTCGCGACTATAGTGGACTTGTATTGTCTAATTCGCGCTTCTTGGCGCGCCTTTAATAATTGTCCTGAGCCCTGTTAATACGTGTAGTGATGTTATGTGCATTGTTCCTTTGGTCCGTTCCAGGCTATTTGTGCGGTAGCCAGCCCGTGCCCGCGCGACTAATCAATATTAATTCTGAGATAAAAACAATAAAAACATTGTAATCATTTTGTTGGCTTTTTTATTTGTTCTACTTGTAATTCGAACGCCATGATGGCCCGGTGAGTAAGATTTTTCCGAGTTATATGTACTTTCTATAATTATATAAACACCACTGACAAACGGTGAAGGAAAACATCGTAAGGAAAACTGGACTTCTATAAGTTTGATTAATGCTCAAATCTCCTTCGTGTGAGAAGAGGCCTTGGCTCAGCAGTGGTCACTTATAGGGTGATGATGAAGTGTAGGGGAGCCATGCTTAGATAGATACGCAGGAATGGGTCAGCTCCACCGGAGTGATACCACGGCCTCAAAAACCAGCGTGAGGCAACGCTTCCGTTGTGTATCGCCGCATGAGTGAGGCCCAGTTACCATCAGTTGCCCACCTTTCCCTCCATCCTCAATCCTCAAATCCCCTATCCTTTAATCCCTAATAACACACGAGGTGCGCAACGCACTAGTAGTAACTCCTTTGATTTTCCATGGACGGCGTTGATTGCTTACTATCAGGTAATCCGATTATCGACCTTTGTCATAAAAGACACCACACTGTCTATTGGCGACTGTGATTGTTCTTTGTGTAATATTTTGAGAATATAATAATTCCAGAATATAATGTTTTGCGAATGTAATAATATGAGAACAAGCCATTGGCGACTCTTATAGAGTACCTTTTTTCTTCAGGATAGATGCATCATCTAAGAGATCTTTGATCGGTAAGAGTTAGTGTGTAAAACCCAGAGGTATCGCAAACGGCCCTAATTACTTCGAGAATAAATGGTACGGCCTTACTGCCAGCTTGACTTAGGTGGGGACTACCGGGATGCCCTCCCAATTAGTGCCGAAAGACCAATATATAGGCAAAATTTGTGTAGGTCGTATCCACTGTTTAGCCGACCATAGGTCGACGCGTAGAAAGGGTCACACGTCATTTAAGCCACCTGGCACCGCCTCTCAAGGCCTCCACTCGTTGGCTACAGGTAGTCCACGGGTGAAAGTCGCGTTATCACCAATAAATGTCCCGCGGTCAACGGAAAGACGCCGCTTCTTCCACGAATTTTCGAAGAATCTGTTATTAATTGGTACTAGGGCAGCGCGTTAGCAACGCCCAGTCCATGCAAGCAAGCTTTTTAGTGTAGAAGAGCCAAGCTTCGACACAAATGGGTCGGCTCGAGATATACCACGGCCTCACAGAAAACCGGCGTGAAACAACCACAGCGTTGTGTTTCGCCGTGTGAGTTAGGTAGGTTACCGGAGTCCCAATCCCTTATCCCATCCTTAAATATCCAATACTCTTATCCTTAAAAGGCCGGCAAAGCACACCTAACTCCTTTGGTATTGCGGGTGTCCATGGGCGGCGCTCATTGCTTACCATCAGGTAATCAGAGTTGTCACCGAGTATGTATAACACGTTCACTGCCACCACAATTTTTTTGAAGTTCATAGCGATGCCGCCCTATAAATGCACGCGAACACGCCAGGCGTGTCGGCGGCACTGCATCTAGTTAAACATTGACACGCTAGGCGTGTTCAGTGGCACCTCGATAGAGTTAAAAGAATACTAGCTGCAAGAGGCGAGTCGGTCATAGAATTACTAGACTAACACAGGTGAGGACCTATAGGGCTGATGGTCAGCCGGGGATGCGGGGTAAGCGCAATGAGGGCACCGCGACCTCGGCCTCCCTCTTGACTCCCTCTCGCCTCAACCTAGGCGGGAGAAGTAAGTCATTTGATGATTTTCCCCTTACAAAAAAAGGGGGGCGTGACTGTACGGAACAGGTAGTGCCGGGTGGAGGGCTATACAACAAATAAAAGACAAAAAAATTCATAATAAACTTTTTTTTTCAAATAGCATATATTTTTACGAAATAAAAAATACACATAGATCGTAAACATAACGTTTTTAAGCTATCCTTACATCTAATCGCCCGAAGATTTGTGACCGGGTACAAAGGAAAAAAAATATAATGAAAACTAAAAAAAGAAACTGTCAAAATGTATTGTTTATAGGTTAAAATGATTATCATTGATAGCTAACACCCAAGTATTGGTTATTTAAGCGATTGTTATCAACGAGTTACCGGTAGACGAGAGAAACTTTAAAATTTCTAGACCAAATTAGTTACAAAAGAAATCTTATATTCGCACAAGACTTCAATGTTTTCAATCTCACTTGATTTGGTCGGGAGCCCTCCGTAACTCGTTGCTAGGCAACCGTTTGAAAAACAACATGCAACTTGTCATTTTAAAAAACACTAGACGAACTCTAGGTAATGTCAAATTGAACATAAAAAAGGGTTTACGAAAATAAAAAATGTATACTCTTCTGTTTATTTAAAAAAAATAAGATAATATATGTTTTTAACAACATGTAATGTACTGGTTTTTTAATGGCTCGTGTAACTTGGTCATAGTATAAATATTAAAAAGAAACTTTATTACGTATAAAATTAATTGATTGTCAAAGTGTCCTATTGGCAGTTTAGTTTTAATACGTTAATTGATTCCTTACATTTCCATGTAAAATTACGTAACATTTAATTACAGTAAAATAAAATTCTTAATGACCAAGTCACACAACCCTCGCATACATATATTAAGTCCAAAATAGTAAAAAAAAGGAAAAATAAGTTAAAACTACACAAGTAGGCTAGCCTGCTTATAATTACATAAAATGCTAACATATATTATATTTTTGTTTTTATATTTAATATAATATCAACGCTATAGGATGGTCTGTCAGTTATTAAATGAAAATAAACTTTACACAACTAAAAATACAATCCAATTCACCTTGCAAAATCAACTAAAATGATTTAAAACATGTACATTTTTGAGGTAGACGACCGACACTAGCTTCATAAGACACAAAAGGAACAGTGGCGCCATCTACTTGATCATTCATCTGTCAATAGTGACATTGACAGCAAAACGTCAATGTCAGTGTGGAATTAAGATGGCGTCACTCATACGCAGCGTCGGACTCGAACCGTTGATAACTTCAGTAGTAAGTAATGACAGAGCATCCTATGTGACAGATATATTCTATTTCGATATTATAATTATTTAAAAGCACAAATGGCGAGGGTTTTAGATCGAACACGCTGCTACGCCCATTTACTATAGAAAAGACAATAATATTATAAGTCTCCGATATTCTAACTAGCGAACTTGAGTCAATGTATCTCGGAACTTATGTCTGTATAGTATTCGGGCGTAGCAGCGGTAATCGACAAGAGCGCCCTCTATAAACATGAAAGCATTATATGCTGTCTAGAAATAATATTGTAAAACAATGCACCACATCGCTTTGAGTGCCAACTGAAAATGCTGGCAATAGTTGCCGCGTTTTGTACTTTTTTAATTGTTAGTTTATCACTTATCTGTATATAATTATGTCTGAATTTGTCCTATTAATAAATTGGTTAATTTTAGATTACAATACATGATATATTTTATGTTATTGTCAAAAACGGGATACAGATTGTTTAGAACCGTCTCGCAATTTTGCGTTCAAAAATTTTTAAAAATGTTTTTTTCAATTGGCCTTTAGGTTTTCTTTGTCAGTGTGACAAATTCTCCTAGATATACAGATTAAAATGATTACAATTATTAAATCTCTAATACAAAGGCCACGTAATAATCTTAATTAATATAAAACCAAGTATCCATGTTAGGTTATTTCAAAGGACATGTTGCATCAGTTACAGTATAACGCCGGTTTCAGAAGCTGCCTGAAAGCCAGCATTTTCAGTTGACACCCGTTACTAGTCAGAAACTATGATAAAAATAGTAAAAAAAATAAAAGAAAACTCAATGACGTTAGAAAGTTGGCAAGGCAAATTTGTGAACTTGAGAATGGTATTGTCAAAAGGAAAATAAATTATAAGAATTTACGCGTTTTTAAAGAACTATTTGATAGCGTCACCTATACTAAACACGCTCGTACGCTCGACGCTCGATGCTCGCAAAGCCACGCTCGAAATCACGGGGCCGAGTGCAGAATCCACAAAAATGCTCATTACGTGCCGAAAAAATGCTCAATGCGTTACGAGCGCCATCTATCGTGTGGTAGCAGCTGCTTAAGGCGTTAACCTCGGCTACGACGGTGGGTGGGTCTTTTTAACAAAATTGTACAGATTTTTAAGTCGCTTAAAACCTTCAAAATTTGTTATAATTTGAAAAAATGCCTTAAGATTATATATTTTAGGGTTCATTTTTGTTGACTTATGCCGTAATGGTGTAAACAACTGCGTTGCCATGGTAACAGGCTCAATTCTATACCTTAGCAATAAAGTATAATTTAATTCAGCAACTACACAAATCTAATATCATGATTTTCGTTCTTATATCTAACTCAATGTTACCATGGAAACACAATTATTTTTTATCGAAATTGATGTAATATTTGCTTCACCCCTTTGAAAGGCTTGTACTAAAAAGGGGAGGAGTTATAAGCGACTCTTAACAAAAATCAATAAAAAATCTTAAAAACTAGAGATGAGTTCGTCGTACTAAATTTATATCAATGCCCAATTATAATAAAGAAAATTACATTAATAATAATTAAAAAACATTTTATAGAGTTTTATACATTACAAAAACCAACTAAGCGAATATCGAAAAAATATCACGAGTGGGTCATGAACTGTCGTGAGGGTTTAGACCCCAAGTGTCGTGAGTCTTAGAACCCAAGTGTCGTGAGTCTTAGAACCCAAGTGTCGTGAGTTACTCAAACTGTCGTGAAATATCTTTTTTCGTATCTTTTTAGTGGTTTAACAAAGTTTAAAAGAACGAACCCACCTCGTATACAGCATGTTCTATTTCCACAAGAGTATATGTACAGCCCACCGCTCCATGCTGTATAAGCTGACAGCTGACCGACCTGACCTTACAATTATTACAAAAAACATTACAAGTACTGAAAGCGAGATGGCAGTGATCATCTGTGGGATTACCTGGAACAAATATTATATTTTTTTTTATTTATAGACGATAGCTACACTCACTGATCGGCTCTTATAAATCGTAGCATGATGTTTTACCTATAGCACTCAGAAACATTGTGGATGCATTGGAAATTCAATTCAAAGATACAAACTCACGGCGGTACCAAAGATTACCCTCAACATACAAAGTCACAAATTATAAAATTTACCACTTTATATATTATTATGTATTAGTATAGATGTTGGCAAGGGTCATGACTCCAGATCGAAATTTATACTAAAGATAAAAGTTTATAAAATTACCTCTAGGCGGGTTGTGGCGTGCTGGACTTCTTCTTTTCTTTCTTCTTCTTGAGGAAGGAAGGCGTCCGGAGCCCCTTCTTCTTCTTCTTGTCCTTCTTCGGAGAGTCCTCGGTTGACACCTCCTTTGAGGGGGAGCCCTGGAGATGTTATTCGGTTTTAAAATGTGTTATATATTTATTTGGGATATGGTGGATTCTTTAAGAGTAGGTCTACTACATGAAGTCGTGGCTTTTAATCATATTTCATTCATTATTTATCATTTATAAAAGTCCCATGACAGGGAGTCTATTGACATAAATCAACAATAACATTTAGTATTGTATACTATAATATTTAATAATATTAAGAATATATACTTTATATATTTATTAATTTTTTTCTTGACGTTCAAAAGTGGCTGTTATGGTCTACTTGAAATGAAGAGTTTGATTAGATTTAATTTGACTATTTTAGCTTACTTCTGGAAGAACCTTTTTGAAAACACTCGGTATTGGCATCATCCATTGATTACTGAGAACAACGACTTACGCACGCGTACGTGAATCAATTGACAATCCTTACTTTCTAATAAACTCACAACGGGATTCTTATTAATGAGCAGCGTGATTTGATTGACTGATTTCTCCCGCAAGTAGGGGGATAGGGAGTACCCAGTACAGTTTGGTCAAAGAAAATGATATACTAGTCTGCTTACCTCTTTACTGCTATGCGAGAATGTGCTCTGGTGCGCGTCAGAATGGTCCCCGTTCAGTGTGTGCTCTCCTGTAACGTAATGGACAACAATAATTAATATAACATACATCACGAAAGGTAGGATAGGTCATTATTGTATAAGGTATGTATGACAACATAACATAAGCTTGGGTTCACGGTTAGGCCGCAGAGAAAGTGAAGACTATTATTTCAGTGATGAATTATGGATAACTTAATTTTTAACTAGACAGTCACTTTAATAGACCACTAAGTATAATGTGGTGTTAACATTTAATATCATTGAGAGAAATCAAAAGTTGGGAATTGAACCCAACGCATTGTAATCCCAATTCATGTATTTTATAATTTTGATCACCGTCCAAAAATCGTAAGTATAAGCAATATAAGTAATCTTAATATTATTTCATATTCAATACTTATAACAGTAAAATAAACATCCCCATGCAAAAAAGAAACAATTCAAATAATGCTCGTTAAAAAGTGCTCTTAACAAAGTGTGCTAGTCACAAAAAATGCTCGTTACAAAGTATGCTCGTCACAAAAAATGCTCGTTTAATAGTTAGAAAGTGCTCACTTACCAACGTGTGTTAGTACCAGGAACCGTCGCTCCCGAAACCACGTGATAGCAGCTAGTGCCGTGCCATGCAAAGCGGTGTTAGAACAGCACACAAATAGTTATGCTTTTGTGCTTGAAGCAAAGCATTTTGCAAAGATACATTTATTACTTATGCACGTTGGATATAGTCTGAGTCTATTGCAAAACACCAGACCATACAAACCCGTGTTACTACCGAAGTTTTAATGTATAATAAATTAGATCTTGTTTCTAAAATTTTGGTGTCCAAGAAAAGATCTTTGCAAAAAACTTTTATTGAAAAAAATCGCAACAGAAATATTGTAAAAGGCACCAAAAAAAAACATTTAACATACAGATAGTACCCCAAAACACAAAGAAAACTGAATTGAAAAGAATTAAGTTCAGAGATAAATTAGGTAATATCGAGTTAATTCCACCTCAACCATACTAAACATAAAGACCTCTTGTAATAGTAAAAAAAAAGAATAGAATTCGTCCATCGAGCGAAATATTATAATGTTATTATAACTGTAGTATCAATATTCGCTTAACATTATTAGTTTTTTGGAAGTTTAATATAATAACCCAAACCCAATTTTATGGACACCCGCAACGACGGAGGAGTTATGAGTGCGTTACCTCTTTTGGGGATTAGGGATTTGGAGATTTTGGGAACGGGTAGGGATTGGGGTAGGGTAAGGATTAGGCCTCCGGCTTGAATACCCTTAAATTCATAATACCAAATCTTAAGTTCAAGATCGCAAACTTCATTGAATTTCTTCACTAGTGTTGCCCTAATATCGATATTATATCGAATATCGATACTACAGTACAGTGAGTTAGTGAAGGTTCTATATACACTGAAACAGCATGAATATAGCGCGTACACTTTAATAGCAAACAAAACACATGTTAGGGGAGTAAACATATAACAATCACACACATTTTATTTATTAGTTTACAGAAATACTACTTGAAAAGTGACACTTCATTAGACTATCAACTACGAGTTATCAATATATTTTTTTTACGAAACATGATGTTTTTTTTTACTTTCAAAACGACGAATTTATAGTTCTTATTCAGGAATATTAAGAATCAATTATAAATAACATAAAATAATAGTAAAAATAATGTTATTTTCGAAAATGACCAAGTTGGAATTCTATGAGGATCATGCAATATCAAACTATCGAATTTGTTACATAAAAAATCTATACTTTATTCTTTGTACCTGTAACTTTTAAAACCGCATACACAAAAAAAAAAACATTTTTGAAATTCCAAAATTAAAAATCTAAACGACCGACCACTAACGGGATAGACTGAATCTGAAAACCATCGCCTATACAAGCACTTATATTAAATAAAAAACATTTAAAAAACAACTTACAAACATACATAGGTTGTAAAAATACATACTTCTATAAAAACTTACATTAAAAAGAGAGGTTAAACTATCTATCTCTTTTTCACAATATTTGTTTTTCAGAACCAATATTGAATAAGTATCGAATACATTGCCTGCTGAATATAGACCCTTTTTATACGTACCGGTTTCACAACAGCAATCTATACTGTTTTCAATGTATAATCTGCACAGTTATCCACATCCACAAAGGCACAGAAATGGTTTTTGGAAGGCTGACTGCTCATTAATAAAAAAGTCTAACTTTAACCTGAAACTAACTAATAGAACTTTTCTCAGTAACCAAACGTGAATAAGACGGTATGTCTACATAGTATAAAACAAAGTCGCTTTCTCTGTCCCTATAGCCCTATGTACGCTTAAATCTTTAAAACTACGTAACGGATTTTGATGCGGTTTTTTATAGACAGAGTGATTGAAGAGAAGGGTTTATGTGTGTAATAACATCCATTAAATAGTGGAGAAATTTACTATCAGCATTGCATCCATGCTAAGCCGGGCCTTTGCATGCTAGCTTTCAATAAATGTATATGGTTTTCAATCAAACCTGTCTTTTCACACAAAACAACGATACCTGTTTCATATATCTGTGCAAATTATATTTGGGAACACCTATACCCACCGACGAGAACTATCCCTTTTAACAAACACTATATCCATAAATTATACTTTACGTCCACAAACACATCATTAAAAGTATCGATATCGAGCAACTAAATACTATTATCGAAGTTGGGATCCTCTAAATCGTTGGGATCGAAACTTTCCGACATTCGAAATTTGGATATGATTCGGTAGAATAATGTGTTTTCGAATGGAGGCCAGCTGGAGTAGAGTCGTTTGGACGGCCTACTATGTAACTCATAGAGCAGTTTTTTCTGTGGCTCGTTACACTCTATTTCGGGATCATCAACTAATCCTCTGACTGTCTGAGTTTCAAACTCTATATGACTAGTACTAGGCGATGGGAAAGCTACATCATTTTCATGAAACTCGTGCAACAAAACGCTCGATCTCTTCGTTTTCGTATTCCTAGTTTTATTAAAGTAATCATTCTTATTATCTATATTTTCGTCTAGATCTATCGATATGAAGCTTGGGAGCGTATCATCGATGCTTTTTTTAGTACGTATAGATGGTTTTTCTGTATCTAATTTGAGATTTTCATCGAACGAGAGCCAGTATTTGACGCCACCTGAATGTTCAGTTTGAGACATCGCTAAGACGTTCGTTCTTTTAGCGAACGGAGAAATCATGTCTGTTGGACGTCTAGTTACGTGTCGAGGAGAATCTTTGATCGGGGATTCTGTGAGTTCGAATCGTTTCGTAGTCTTCCTGTTAGGAGACGAGCTAATGGCGTCTTTGGACGCTGAGTATTTGCGCTTCCTTGAATTTTCATTTGAATCATTCGCTTTATTGATCGATATATCGCGATATTCTGGACAGAAGGCGTCTTCGTTTGAAGAATCTCTTATAGGACTTAGGAATAATTCTGTGTCTGTAGAAGACTTGGCAATAAAGCTAGCGAATTCTTCAGCTTGGCTGGAAATATCTTTAAATTCTTCGTTAACACTAGAGAAATATTCTTCATGAGATGTATTATTCGTTTTATCTACTTCGATGGTGTAAGTATCCGTTTCAAGGCTAATATTTCCTTTTATTTCTGAAGTGAGGTCAATTTCAGGAGTAGCAAAGAATTCTTCTGTATGAGAGGAGATAGTAGGATCCTCTGAGTGATTAAAGTCCTCGTGAAAGGCATTGTTCATACCACTGGTTTCTATAAATGACTCATTTAGTACATTTTCCGTATCGACCGTTTTTGATACATCAGTTAGGTTTCCCGTAATATCTATTTGTGCATCATCTAAATTAACGTTAGTAGAATCCAGTTCTGTAGCCCTATTTATAATGTAAGTAAGGTTAGGTTTAAAATCTTGATACAATACTACATCTTTACAATAATTCATATTTTTATTACATTCTTCAATATTAGTAACCAAAGCATTGGTAAAGTTAACTTTACTTTTTTCATTCGCATCAACTGCATCAATTTGCTCCTGTATAACACTTTTATTGATATCCGTAGGACTTTCAGCCGTATTTTTAACTACATTCGAAATAATATCTATATCACGGTCTGTGTGTTTGGAAACGTTAGTTTCTTTTTGTACCAAATCTTTCTTAATTTCATCATTGTGTTCATTAGAATCAGCAAGACATTTAGCATTAAAGAAATCTTTAATAGTATTGAAATCTCTTTCATCGCTGTGTTTCTCTTCAACTGGAATTTCTTCGTTTATATCGGAGTTAAACCATATAGGTTTTGATGTGAACAAAATATCTTCAAAATCAGCAACAGTGATAACTCTTTTCGGTGGCTTTTTGCTGGCTTTGTGTTTTTCTATATTAATAAACATTGCTCTATCGAATATATAGTAAAGAATTCCTTCTATGACTTTATGTGCTACCCCTGTATCTGTATCACTCGTTTCTGTCAGAACAGTCTCGTTAAGACAGATATTTTGCTCCATATCTTCAATTATCTTGGCGATGGAGAAAGACTCGTCAATATCACCAACAAGCATATCATTTACAATACTGACATTATGTTCCACTTCGACTTTTAGAACAATATCTACAAACTCAATCCGATTAATGATTGTTGATATAATATCTGCTACCATTTCATACTTCTCAAACTCTGCTGTGGTATCAATGCTGACTCGTTCGTTAGAGCTAAGTGTGCTTGCTAGAGAATTTTGTCTCTTAACTTCTATAGTATCAGAGTCATTATCCGTTGTCAATATTTCGAATAAGTTGTCGTATACACAATCTATGATATCTTGTTCTGTATCTTTTTCATATTTGTCTATAGCTGTCTGTACTATGGTAGTTGTGTAGCATTCTACGTCATTAGCTGTGACGTCAGAGTCTTCTTCGTTTACTATGTAGCATTCTTGTCTGCTCGTACATTCAGCTACAAGAACCTCTGTAGTAACTTTCTCAGACGCATTACTAGTTATTTCCAGTTTCAACTGGCTTGCTGTCACAGCTGTGTCTACTATATCCGTGACTAAATTACCTAATACTTCTTTTTTATCACCCTGCGATGCATTTGAGTCATCTCCATATGAACTTTTCGATTCCTCCAAAATTGGTTCGAGAACATTCTTGGCTTTCTTTGGTGATTTCTTATCGTTTATATTCGTGGTTTTATTATAGTCTTCGCAGTAGAAGTCTATGGGTACGGAGTAGTCCCTGATATCTTTTTCAATTAGCTCTTTAACGGGGCTCTCGTAGGAATCCTCCAAGTCTGTGAAACTATGGTAATCGCCTTCAATGGATTCCAAAGTCTTATTGATATCCTCGACTAAAACGTCATCGTCACCAACATCCTTCCTGAACTTATCGTCTTCTCTAACATTGTTTTGCGTATTAATTTGAACCGTATTTTCACTAACTATGACAGTTTCTTCTTTAGCCTCAGATTTTTCGATAACAGTTTGGTTTTCCGAAGAGAAACTATTACCTATATCGCCTATGTAATTATCTTCATTGAATTCTTGACTTTCAACGAACTCTACATCTTTTTTCTCAACTTTATTGACGGATATGATCTTTTCTTTAACTTTTACGAATTGTGGCTCTTTAAAAGCTTCGTCGGCACACTTTTGCGGTAGATTATCAACGGAGAAATATAGAGAGCCGTGGTTTTTAACTTTCTTTTCCTTATCTTCTTTATTAAGTTCGAAGGCGTAAGAAACATTAGTAGCGCCACAGGATCGGCATCTTGGTACATGATAATGGACTGGTTCAGGGTCTCTCATGTACGCGTTGATGAAGCCGCTGTGGGATTGTGTTCTGAAGAGTTTATTGGTTCTATGTCTGGGTAGAGATCTGGTGCGGAAGCCAGATTCTGACCTGCAACGTCCATCCCACTCTATGGAGGGGATGGAGTAAAGACTAGAGCGAGAGCTCTCGTTACCGTGGTCGTGGGTCGTGTGTCCTAAGCGATCAGTGAGGCTAACCTTACATTTAGAGCCCCTGCGAGGAGCATCGTACGTTTTGACTATATTGTCGAAGTTGGTACTTCGGGAGTATTCGTGTTTTGATCGCTTGCTAGCTGAGAGAGCTTCTTTCTCTTCTATATCACCTGTAACGGGGGTGGGGAGCGTCATGGTTGAAAAAGTACCGTATGTCTTCTATCAACGATCGATTGAGACTAGTGATCTGCTACATTCAACTTCTACATACGTATGTATTTAAGAGAAAGAGAGACAGCTATATCATAGACAGTTAGATATCACTATAAGGCCTAACATATACAGTAAAATATAGTAAACTAAAATACAAGATTTATGTTTGTTTGTGTAGTTTTTCTTAGTGGTATTTATAAAATATGACGCCAAAAACCATTTATAAAACCAACCAATTTCCTTCAGCAAAATCCTACAATTATCACAATTATCGGACAGACGGATAAACCATAGCAATGATGACTGCCTGATGATTACATGGAAACAACTGATGATCGGGCGACAAAGTAAATAGCTTTGGAATGATCAATAATGATTTGATGATCGAAGAATGGACCGTCTAGCGAAACACTGTGATTGGTTAAACACAACATACTGCTTTTAATGGAGCATACATATTTTTTGACTCCATCATTGATATGTATTACAAGGGAGGTATAACAAAAGTAAGATCAATATGGACCCGGTCGGGCACAGACAAGTTAGGAGAGAGGAAGAAACATGGTAACAATAAATTAAAATATAATAAGATTAATCCCCAAAACAAGTTATTATTTCTGTTTAAGTTTAATACAAGCTTTTTTTTAAAGGAGAAAATCATCAGGTGACTTCCTTGTATAATCGCCCATGGTAAGGCGAGAGGCAGTGTCAGACTCTTACAGACTGACTAAACCCCTCCCACCATTCCTTCTCCTGCTTTAGGCCAAGGCCACGGTACCTTATTGCAGTAGCCCCGCTAAACAGTTATAGCATTGAGATCGGATTTATACTCAAGAAGTAAGAGGAGGTTATTTCTGAAGACAGCGAATTTGGAGTTGGATAACATACTTTAACCATTCTTTATGTAAGGATAAAAGTCACAGTACTGGCAGTGTTCAACCAATCACAATGTCACAAAAATAAACACACAAACACCAATCTTCCACACTCCTCCCTTCTCTCTTCAAACGACCAGGACAATCCGAATCCTCTCAAAACCATCTAAAAATTGACTGGGACAATCCCAATCCAATTGGAATGGATGAGAATGGTCCCATATCTCAGGTTGGGACCCTAACCTCTGACAGCGGGTTGACTGGGCTGACTGGGCTGACTGGGTTGAGTGGGCACTGGTTGCGGCGTGGTGTAGTGCTGGGAGCGCACCACGACAGGCTTGGGGGGTGATGTGAATACCTCGTCATCCGATAGAACCGTTGGCTGCCTCGCTGCCGCTGGTAGCAAGTATAGAGGTTGCAATCCATCACTCAATCGCTTATTCCTTACTTCATTGAATCTTTTATTAACTCATCCATTCATTAATACATTCATTCTTTCATTCATTTTATCAATCGAAATGTAAAATATAGTCGTGTTAGTTACATTATTTAGACTGAAATTAAGAATTGCTGGACAGATTTACCCATAAATTTAAATTAATTGGATTAGTTCCTCATTATGGTTGCTTGGATACACTCGCTATAACAAGTACAATAAAATGCTAACAGATGGCGCTACTGTAAGTCTACATCACGCAAGCAAAGTTCGCACACAAATGACCATTCATATGAGAATTCTAAGACGGTTCTTTATTGCTTAACCGCTTTTTTGAGCGAGGAACAATCATCAAACATTTCTTATCGCCCTGGACGAGGCGAAAGGGAGTGTCAGACTCTTACTGACCAAAAACCCCCTGTTCCTTTTCCTGCTTCAGGCAGATACCGCGGTACATTATTGGACATGCCTATGATGTAAATCCATCCAGCAAATCTCAAATAACGAAACAATGCAAATATCACGACTTTATTTTATTTAAACACATACATATCCACTTACGCTTCCTTACAATTAACACTTTTTTTCAATTAAAAAATATCACAGACATACAAAATTTAATGATAATAACGACTTAGTCATGAATTAACAGCAACGCGCACTCTGCTCATGAAAAAGAGCCCCGTTGTTGAACTTGAACCTTTTCATTTTTGTTTCGAAATTGGCAGTCATTTGGCCACTATCACGATTGGTGCTAGACGCGACCTACGATGCAGCACGCCTACCTATGAGCAACCTATTCACTCGGGCCTTGAAGACACCCACGTTATACCCTTCGGGGAACACAGCCTCCGGCAAAGAATTCCACTCCTTAGCGGTTCTGATTATAAAACTGGAGTCGAACCGCTTCGAGCGTGTATGTGGGGTATCCACCATGAAGCGATGACGTTTTGCCGACTGTCTGGGCCTCGAGTCTGCTATTACAATAGTGTCAGAATAATAGATCATTGGTTTCAAAATTGTTGATTTTCACAAGTTTTGGTAATCTACTAACACGATAGCGTCATTATGACTTTCCAATGATCAACCAATGCCACTGCATTGAAATAATTCTTAAGAACGGTAATCTCGTACATAATGACAAATAAATATTTGACATAATGCGGTAAATTAATAAAAAAATGTCAGTCCCTTTATTCAATGATTTACGTTTAGAATATTAATGTGCAGTTATTGTTTATAATTCGTCACAAGACATCTCGTACTATAATTCTATTACGACATCGCCGAACACCAATGATCAGCCATTTTGAATTAACAGATTACGAACTTTTAGCAAAATGACAATGGAATCGTTGTAGGAATGACAACACTTTGAAAATAGTAGATTTGGGCCCCTGGTGTTACGATGGTAGAAACTAGTAGAGCTTTTCTTAGTTAATTCACGCTAGTCGTTATTTTCACAAGACACATTCATCAATCAACTCTCTCCCATACTTAATCAATCCTTCAATCATCATACCTCTGATAACGACGCGTTGTTCCGGCGAGCTCGCCGGTGGTACGGGCGATTCGTAAAACACCTCATCGTCCGACAATAGGTTCGGATCCCGGGGCGGATCTACTTATATAGAACGACATATATTATCCTATATGTAGGTTTATTAACTTTAAATGAACATAGTACACGAAAGCGTTGCCCTATTAAAATAACCTATGAAGGAATATAATCTATTACTTAGGAATAGTTATATTTTATACACAGCTAAAGAATGAAAAAAAATAAACATAAAACAAAAACAGAAAGAAACAATAATATTATGAACTACAAAAACTAAATCACAATAAAGAACAAGTTGATAGATTAGTTGCGCAACAGTTGCGCGACAGTTGACCAACAATTTAAAACAAATTAGTGTAGAGATATTAGCAGAAATAGATAGATATTAGTTGCAAGTGTTACCAGCTTTCTACATGCATGCGATATGTTAATACAATTTGTGGAAGATTTTGTATGAAATTAATTAAAAATTAGAGGACATTAATTTTGACATCACTACTTGAACAATTTTTGTTTTTAATATTGGTTAGCAAACGAGTAGTCGGATTACCAGATGGTAAGTAATCAGCGCCACCCATGGACGCTAGTAAAACCAAAGGAGTTACTACAAGTGCGTTGCTGGCCTCTTGTGGGTTATAAGGTATTTAAAGACGGATTGGGCCTCCGGTAACCTCACTCACACGGCAAAACACAACGCTGTGGTTGTTTCACGCCGGTTTTCTGTGAAGCCGTGGTATAACTCCGGTCATTCGTGCCGAATGATTTAATTGGCAGAAGGATAAGTTTTTCTATATCTAGTAGTACACATAACGGATAATAATTCCTTATTAATTGACTTTTAAAAAAAGATTATCAATTCAAACTAATCTTCTTAGTAGCAAAACAAACCGAATCTCAGAAAGATATTGAGAATAACCATTACGGAGGTATCCTAAAACTATCAATACAAAATCTTCCACAAAATTATTAAGGTAATATTATAGATATACAATTATCAATCTACTTGTCACTGACCTTTCGTCCGATCGGCGTGGGCTCGCTCGGCAGCCAAGAAATCGGTGGTGTCCACTAGAAGGGGGTACGGAATTTTTACATCCACATACACATGCAAACATTCTATGTAGGTATATATATGTATATTGGACTAGGTAAGGTTACCATGCCTGTATGTAAGATAGAGTAGAGACTATATTATAATGTAAGGATTGGCGTGTTTGTCTGTCTATCATCATCTTTATCAACAAAATGGAATAACTAATAACCGGGGTTTTCTTTAATGTTGGAGATCGCCATGTAGTATAAACTTAACATATATCCATTCATAACATACATCTATCCGTCTATATTATCTATACTAATATTATAAATGTCTGACTGTTTTTTCTCCACGCCTAAACTACTGAACGGATTTCTGTGAAATTTGGTACAGATATAGTTTGGAACTCGAGAAAAGACATAGGGATAGTTTTTATAGCAAAAAACAGCAGGAAGACACTATTCCACGCGAACGGAGTCGCAGGCAAAAGCTTGTACTTTATAAGTATGGATGGATGTATGTTACTCTCTCCGCGCGATGATGCGACCTACGATGGAGCATGCCTTCCCATAAGCAACTTATTCACTCAGGCCTTGAAGACACCCACGTTGTACACTTGGGAGAACTTAATGACATTTGGCTCAGACATAGATTATAGTCTGGAATAGCATAGGCTACTTTTTACCCGAGTACTGCGGGCAAAGATGCTGACAGAAACTTGTACGAAATAGAATAGTATCATTATGGATATGAAAGTTTAACATAACACCGGTCCTCCCTCGAAGAAATATCAAAAATATAACCTCACTTATTCGCGAGTAATTTTGTGTCCCATGTAACGAACCTTTATTATAGATTATTCTATTGTCAATCAAACAAATACACCAATCCTTACAATAACTAAAATAAACTGGGAAAGAGAAAAACATCGTGCTTTCAAAGAATTCTCCATCCTCATTAAGATTCAGATTAACTAAGAAAGAATGATTTGAAAATTTTCATACTCCATACAAGAAAACATAATTGTCAACTTGATTTTGTTTTTAAATCTGACAAGGTATCAAGTGCACAATTATTATTATAAGATGGTTATATCAAAGCTGGTATACATATACTTTATTGTAAAAAACTATTATAACGCCACTACTGTCTTGTGGTTACAAAGACTTAAGACAGCCTCATAATCAGCCTACAAGTGTCCACTGCTGAGCAGAAGCCTCTTCTCACACGGAGAAGGTTTGAGCATGCCATTGATTGCATGGTTGGCGCGGTGGCTGGGCAACTGGCTGCCGCGCAACGTGTCGGGAGATCAATTTCCGCACGGAACAATCCTTGTGTGATCCACGAATTGTTGTTCCGGGTCTGGGTGTGATGTGTATGTGAAATTGTATGTTTGTAAACGCACCCACGACACAGGAGAAATCCTAGTGTGGGGCAACGTTTTTTTAAAGAAAAATAAAATAATCAAGATACCACTAGAAAATCAAAGCGTAAGTTTCTAATTGAAATAACAAAGGTACAAAAATACAACCAGCTTTGACATCACCATACACCCATTTAACAATCCCCATGTATGAATAATCACCAAAGTTATAAAAATCCAAATAACAATCACTACTCAAAGTATTAACATCCCAATCGCAATCACTTGCATACTACACTACTATTCAACAGGCAACTTTGTAGAGCAACAGTTGCACAACTAGCTGGCCGATGGTTGCCCAACTACAAAGCTTTCTTTTCTACCGAACTGCTTAGTTCTAGTTGCGCAACTGTATGGCGACTAGTCGTCCGATGGTTGGTACTTACCATCGCTGAGTACAACTTCTGGTTGGCTGCGTACAGGCGCCTGTTTCGTCTCTATTCTCAGTACGCGGTGTTCTGGAAAAATATCATAATTTTCTTATTATTACAAAATCTTTTAAGATCACAACGTTCCCGGATGGGTAATTGTTGGAGAGCCAAGCTTAACCACGACTAAAGTGATACCACAGTCTCACAGAAAACCGGCGGGCAAAAAACAACCATGTTGTGTTTCACAGCGTGAGTGAGGTTACGGAGGCCCCATTATTCCCCCATCCCTCCCTTATTTCTAAATCTAAGCCCCAAAAGACTGGCAACGCACTCGTAAATCCTCAAGTGTCCATGGGCGGCGCCAATTGATAATCATCAGCCTGCCCGTTTGTTTACCTATCACATAAAATTGGAAGTGCGTTGCCGTCATTACTCGTCGGTTTTCTGTGAGGCCGTGGTATCAGTATAGAAAAACAGAACTACTACGACAATTTTAGCGACATCTGTAGTCTCCAAAATCGAATTGCGTCACTTTGAACTATAGATAGATAAGTGATCTTGTGTAATATTTACCGTCACGAGACTCCTCCTCGGTCTCGGAGGGCGCGCTGGCCGGCGACGTGATCTGCGCCGCGCTGATCGCCTCCGACTCTGACAAGTCCGTGTCATCTGCAACACAATGGAAATTTATTAATATGAAACAAAATACCAAACTACTAATGAACAGTTGGGAAACTAGTGGGTCGATAGTCGGGCAACTATTTACCATAATTTAGTCCCAAGAGTGAATTTCACTTATTAATAACTAGCTTCATTCGATTTGAATTTATTATTCTTTATTACGAACTACTACTAAAACTACGCGACGGACTTTGATACGGTTTTCAATAGATAAAGTGTTTGAAGAGGAAGGTTTTGAATAGTAATTACAGTGAGACATACTATACCTATATTTATTGAAACTAGCGACCTTCTCACGTGAATTTACTGAGAAAAGCTCTTCGAGTTTTAACTCACAGTGGGACTTTAAGTTTTTTCAGTAAATTCACGTTAGTAAGTCGTTTATTCAAAATATCAATATATCAATATAATATTATAAAGAGGTAAAATTTGGAACTTTGTATGAAGGGGGTAATGTTTGGAACTGTTGGTTGGATTGCCATTTTTTTTTAAGAAACTTTGCCCCACACTATGATTTTCTCCTATGTCGTGAGTGCGGTTACAAACATACAATTTCACCCACCCAGCCGCTGGGGCTTTGGTTGACTTACAAAGAATTTTGCTTGATGAAGCAAAATTCTTCCAATGATAGATAGCTACAATGTTCCTGTGGGCTATACTACCTATAGGCTATAAAACATCACGCCACGATTAAATGGAGCAAGCAGCTGGTGAAACCACGCGAGAGTAGCTAGTTTTCAATAAGAGGAAGGTTATTCAGATAGTAAATTACACACTAAACTAAAACCTTCCTCTTCAATCACTCTATCTATTAAACAAACCGAATCAAAATCCGTTGACTAGTTTAAAAGATTGAAACATACATGTAAGTAAAGGGACAGAGAAAGCGACTTTGTTTTATACTATAGACGTGTATACGTACAGTCGGAGCGTTGCTTCCTCTCGACGGTGCGGCGGTACTCGTCGATGTCGGTGTCGGTGACGTGGTCGAACGGGTTCCGCGCGTACGGCGCGCTGTACACGGCCGCGTTGTGCTGGTACCCGCGCTGGATTATACCCTTCGACGCCGCGCCCATCAGCACTTGCTGCGACACCACAAATTATATACAATTACTAGCGGATCCACCCCGAAAACCCTTACAAATCAAATTTCAGCGAAATCATTAGACGCTGGGTTGATTTGTGAAGCTAAACCACCCAGGGCGTCACTTAAACGCAAACAGAAAAGTTCATCATATAAATCGGTCAAGCCGTTAAGGAGGAGTTCAATGACGTATGACATACACACGTACAGCAGAATCTATACTAATATTAATTATAAAGAGATAAAATTTGTAAGTTTGTATGTAGGGGGTAATCTTTGGAACCGCTGGCCGAATTGCCAAAATTCTTTCACTGATAGATAGATACAAGGTTCCAGAGTGCTACAGGCTATAAAACATCACGCTACGATTAAATGGAGCTGAGCAGCGGGTGAACCGTGCGAGAGTAGCTATTATATATATAAAGATTAAGAGAATGCCCATATATGATGTGTGGTAGAATGGGCCTGTTCGACTGGAGTGATACCAAGGCCCAAAGATAGCCGGCGTATAACTACTACACCCAACGAGCAGGCGGATTACCTGATGGTAAGTAATTGGTGTCGCCCATGGACACTCGCAACACCAGAGGAGTTACTACAAGTGCGTTGTGACCTTTTGGGATTAGGCCAATCCCTAATCCCCTTTTGGGGATAAGGGCTGCGGATACTTAAGGATTGTGGAGGGATAAGGGAAGGGGGGATTGAGCCTCCGGTAACATCACCCCCACGGCGAAACACAACGCTGTGGTTGTTTCACGCCGGTTTTCTGTGAGGCCGTGTATCACTCATTCGTGCCGAAGCATGGCTCCCCTACACTGGTACTGTTATAACAACTAGCTAGTAATATATTGTGACTCACGACATGGTCCCCGGTGTGGGTGTTGACGGCGTCCTCCCCGATGAGTTTGCTGGCCTCGTCCCACGTGACCCCCTCGAGGATGTGCGACTGGGGGCCCGCGCTTATCTTGTCCGCGCGACGGTTCTCCTTAATCTGGGGGGAGGAGGGTGGTAGTTGTAGGAATGTGTCAGCTTTTATGGTCTCAATAATATAATAAAATTCAACTCAAAGATATTAGATATAGTCAGATTTTATAAGCCATATTAAATCGTTTTTTTTTAATTCAGTGCTTCTTTGTCAAATCACTGAATTTATTTTCAGACTATGAAATGTATAGAAAATTAACAATCGCATAGATCTTGCTCTATAGTTAATGTTTTTTTTTTTCACTAAAGCCACCTTTTTTCTCTCCCCTTTGTTTTGTAAACTTTGTCTTAGACTATGATTTTCTTTCGTGTTTGCGAGTAGAAACCAACAATTTGTAGATCAAACTTTTATATCTCTATACGGGAATCGAACCCGCGACAATTTTCGATATAGCCAACGCCAAAATTACCAGATCCCAAACCGATTATCACATCATTCATATCATGAAACATCTGGTCATACCTAATTACACATGTCAGTGGTTTCTTATAATCATAGAAAGTACATATAACTCGGAAAAGTCACATTGGTACTTGCCAGGTTTCGAACACACACCCTAATGCATGAGAAGCGGGCTCCTTAACATCCGGCCACTACGACCACATCCACTTTAAAAATGACATATCATTCTTATCCACTTAGCGTAGTGGCGAAAAATATAGTAAAGTCCGGTCACGGAGCAGGAAGAAATTCGTACAATGGCCTGTTATTACCTGTCTCTGTCACTCTCGCGTAAATATGATGCGTCTCGCTCGCACAAATCCAATGACCGCGGCACTCAGGGATTGTGAACCTTTTACCTACTACCAATGACGTATTATATATAGACACGTCATGAACCAACATCGCGGCGCTTAAAAACGGCGAAAATACTAGATAACTACTTCTACGAGTAAAGAAAGGGAAAGAAAATATGACATCGTATAGTGGAATGCCTTTGCTAGAGGGAGATAAATATACATCTTCAGTTATGCCGACGTCACGTGACTATACCTTCATGCGCCGGCCGCCATAAGATGGCGGGCGCCGGCGTCGAAAAAAATAAAATAAAAATAGGTTGTTTGGTGAACTTACGCATGAAATGACACATTTTTGTCTTTAACTTTTGGAGTATAATTTGTACATCGTCTGAACACACACGACGACATGCTTTCTTTATGTTTCAAACAGGTTTACACACGATATAAATTAAAAACAAACGTAGCGTCGAGCGGCAGGTTGGTGCGTAACTAAGCGCGATGTGGTCAATTGCCTTCATTTCATGTTGTCATTTTAGAGCGCGGACAACGTATCTATAGTTTTATACATCATTGCCTACTACTGTAAGGTCTGTTTTTGTTTGTTTGTGGTTGTGGTTTTTGGTTGGCCTTGAGTCATGACATGGCTTACTTGACATAATTCATACATAATTTTTTAACGAACGACATTCCATCTCGGGATGCGTTAGAGATCGCTCAGTTTTCGGACAGTAATCTCAGTTATCTTAGTTTGTTGTTATTTGTTAGTTCTCTTTTGTTATTAAAATTAACAATAAAGAAATAATTTATTTAATAAGCTAGTATTTTTTTTTCTCCTTCAAATATTATAAACTGCACTTTATACAAAAATGTTTGTGACCACTGTCAGTAGGTAAAGAGGTCATTGTACGAATTTCTTCCTGCTCCGCGACCGGACTTTAGGTACTGAAAAGTAAACGTACCTGTTGCTGCAACGCCTTGAACTCCTTGGGATTCGTATTCTTGGGCACAAACTGCAGCGTGTCGATCTTGACTGGAGTGCTGGAGTGCGCCGGGGAACCGTCTTGCACCCACTGGGTATGAGGAACCCACCAGACCGATATATCGAATATTTATGTTGAACCACACGATCCATCCAGACATTGTAGATGATCCACAAAATGGGTTCGTTTGAAAAATCCCCATAATTTTTGTTATGGTAAAAAAAAACAATTGTTTTTTTTTGTAGATTTGTTATTCATCGTTTATAGTATTTTTTGTCGTAGTTTCATTATCATTCATTTGAAACCAAATCCAATGTGGTCATAATTTTTTTTATATATTTTTTCCATTTTGATTTCATTGATTCGTGTAAAAAATCCATTATTTTCATTTCATGTAATTTGTAAAGTGTTTTCGTGTAGTTTCCGTCCGTAGCCGGGTCACCAATCGTGATAGGAAACAAAGAGAGAAAAAGAAAAATTAGTAAAAATGTTGCCAGCATGTTTGTTTGGCGAAAATCAAAAAATATTTCGTTTCGGACGAAATATTAATTGATTTTCGCTTTAAAAGGAGGGTTAGTAGAGGGCGAAAAGAGGCGGCATTTATATATAAAAATAAATATAGAAAAAAAAGTTTTGTGCGAAGAAGAAGAAAATAAAAATAGGAAAAAATTATAAAAAAATGGCTCAAAATTTTCTCTCAACAAATCCTGGTGGAACATCGAGCGTGTACAGTACAGATTATACGCAAAACGGGCATAAGCAGACATACAGACGAAACCGCATGCAAAGCTTGTATTGACTAACGAACCATTCCTTACTTGACATACACGAAAAAAAAGAGGGGGCAAGCTACTAAAAAAGTAAGATGAAAATTAAAAAAAACGATTTTCGTAACTATGAAATACATAACACAGCATTAAAAAAACACAAAAAATGGGATTCGTGGCCCAGGTATTTCATTGACCATGTGCACTAAAACAGCACGGATGCAGGAAAAAGGAGATACAAGATGTCGTGCGGGGAGAAGGAAGGAATTTATTTTTTCACAAGTGGCAACATTCCTACCAATTTTTTGACCTTAAAACACTGTACAAACTCGATGTTTATTACTAATTACCAGGGTAGTATGAAATGCTGTCGATTGTCTCAATATAGTTTGCGGTGATATTAATAATAATTCTGAAGGTAATTTAGACTTTGGTAGTACCCAGAATATTCAAAACGCCCGAAAAGTTAGAAAAAGCTTAGAAATTATGTGAAGAAGAGAAAGAAGTAGGTGATTGACTCAATTCTTATGACGTTTGCGTGTTGACGAGATTTTAAAATTACTTACTCTTGATTTTATACAGAATAAATAGCTAAGGTGTCGCTGATATAAAAAAATGCAAACAATTATTTTTTTATTGAAAATGAACGTTAACATTCGATGTAGTAATAATAGTTAATACAGATTAAGTATGTAAAAATCTTGACTTATAAATTTTTTTGGCGATTTTTTGTCAAATTCAAAACATTTTGTAATTTTGGACAATGATGTCTCGGCTATAATTTATAGAGAAAACTCATTTGAATATCATCATAATTATAACACAAATTCTAAAACAAAATCTAAGAGTCGAATTAAAAAAACCTTATCTCTAAGAAAATATCTCCTAACTCGTCACACACACACAGCAAGTCATAGAATCAAGTCAAAAAATTAAAAATAAATAATATTATAGAGTTCTTTTTAAATTAAAAAAAATAGAGTCGAAATTACCTCTTCGTTGTTAGCATCCACCCACTGCAAAATATTATTGTATTAGTTACAAAAGAAAAACGAAAAAAACAACAAAAACAAGTATGAAAAAAAAACTCGTAAGTTGAAAAAAACGCGCAAAAATTCCAATCAAAAGCATTTCATATAATAATGTGAGTGAAGCAAAAAACGTTGTTAAGTTTTTTTATTTTTTTAAATTATTTAATTTGTTTAAACATATCTAAAGAAGCACAATTGTTATTATAAAGAAGCTAAGACAGCCCAGTCCCGATGTAGCAAAAACTTAATTTAAAAACTCCCATAAATATCAAGTAGCAACCCTTTAAAAAAATATATAACACGCGCGAAATAAAAATCCAAAATCTCTAAAAAAGTTTTTGCTAAAAAAATCAGGACTGAAGTCAAAAAAAAAATCTAAAATCTTACACACAGTAGCTTCAAGCAATTTATACAAAAAAACGTCGTAAGTAATATATTAAAATAATTTGATTTAGATTCGAAAGAAAAAATCAATGATAGCACTTTTTTTAACAAAATATTATAGAAAAAAAAGGAGGAATTTTTGAGCCATTTTGAGCGCGAAATTTAACGAAAAAAGTGACCTAAAAATTAGCACAGAACCTTAATTTCTATATGTAGACTATTTTTTAAACATTATATTACTGTGAATATAAATAGCAACGATTAAAAATATAGAAAAAACCTTGAAAAAAAAAAGAAATATGCAAAAGCCACCGTCCCGTTAAAAAACCCAAAAAAAATATAAATAGAAAATATTATAAAATAAATCTGGAATGTACTAGAAAAATGAGATGTCAGGTCCTCACTGAGATATCGTGAAGGACACAAGTATAAAATATAATAAATCGTTATTTTTTTATAGAATATGTAATGACTGATCATTGTCAACAACCTACCTATTTTCTTCTAGAAAAGCATATGAGCGTTCCCATAAATAAAAAATACAATTACTGTGGACTGATTTTTCAATGGTCAGATAAAAGTTACCTGGGGAATAATTACGATGCTGTCGCGTCACAATGTTTGTATAAGACAGTGACAGCAACAATTTTATTCCTCAGATAACATTTATCTGACTATTGAAAAATCTGCCCCTATTAACACCAATATAAAAAACCTCGTTTAATAAAAGGTCTAAAAATCTATTTTCGGACGTTTCCAGTTCTATTACGCACAACAAGAAGTGTATTTTAAAATACATATTATGACAAAAATAATTCAAATAAGTATTACAAAGAAACGTGTATAGGTATTATTACCTCACATCTTTCCTGTTTGAATAAAAATGAAACTTCGAAGATCGACTAAACAATACAATCAGTACATATTCTATAAAAAACCAACGATACTAAAAAAAACCTTGTGACTAAAATTATTGTGATTCTCATCATAAACATTTTTATAAATATAATTTTTACTCATAAACATATTTACTTAGCTTAATCGATTTCGCAAAATAGTTTGATTCACACATTGTCAACATCCTCAAACAAGGGCGTTCTTTAGATAACTATTCATTCGTTTCGTATAATACGGTAGTTTCCAACTAGTCAAATTTACTTTTAACCAAATGTCAAAAACTATACTTTTCTATGAAATTTGTATTAAAAACCGAGTTTGACGTCGTAGTATTTTTGCGTCAAATAGCTTACTTATTTCTCAATAATTCTCAAAAATATCTAAATGAAACAATGAAACAATGAAACAATGAATTTATTTTTGCAAATAGGCCTTAAAACGGCACTTTTACACGTCAAATTATATGTGAAAAACTAGATGAAGCCGGCATTTCCTATCTGACTACTCTGAGAAGAAATGCCGAAACAAACTCAGAGGTAAAACTTAGCGTATCGATCGATCGACGAATAAAAGTATAGTTATTTATCAATATTTTATTGTATTGAGACGTCGAATTCATTTATTTTTGACCTAGGAAACTACCCAATTATAGGGAAATGGTCGAATCATACACAAATCCAAGTTTTATTAACTCATTTGGTATGCGTGACGTCGCCTTAGCTTATGGCGGCGAGTAAAACAATTGCATGCTTCCTGACTCAAATACAGTACTCGCGAAATCCCTTCACGGAAATTAACTGAAATCTAAGGTACTTCACTAGGAGCTAATTCATGACCAAATTCAGGCCTGAACTGACTGAGTAACGATGGAGTTTCTTGCTCGTTCTCCTCCATAGGAATTTACACTTTGGAACGAGCAAATAGCTTCACTAGAGGACTGACCGACAGACTGACACATATAAAGTTTTCGTCTAATATACATTTCATTTCTTTTGTTTGACGTTCCGAATGATTGTATTGTGGTTAATTTGAAATAAATGATTAAAATTTGACTTTTGCCCTAGGCGAGGTAAAGTTGGATGAAGCCAAAGTGACTCTAATGCTCGCTTTCCGAAAGCCCGATCAATGTTAAAATCAACTAACTAGGTGTCAAATCTCTTGTCAAGTCATCTGATTGGTTGTTGATAATTCAGTCAACCAATCAGACGACTTGATTTAATCTTCTTTCATTTAATCTTCAAGTATTATACTTGTGGTGATAATAAAGTGAATGAGAGAGGACACCGGTGTTCGCTTAGGATTTTAGAAAAACGCAACATGTCTATGACGTCACAAAGGATATCCAGTGGTCTCTTGGGGATTAACGAATTGAGATTATTCGTCTTGCCTCGTTCTATTTCGCGAATAGTCATTGGAAGCATTATTAGGTACTTAAAATTTTCTGATCAAAGTCATTGCACGAACAATTTTTTTGCGAAATTGACTAAACTAAGTATAAATAATATAAATCTATAATAATATACTCTATATGCATGTTGTTATATTAAATTATTTTATATATCAAGTTATTATATGTGACATATGAACAACATCAAATCTTATTTGTAACTTTTCGAGGGTTCACGACTATTTTCCAGTGACGACCGGAGCTTATAATCATTGTGTCTTGAAACGAGACGAGTCACCTCGTCAAACATTTAGGTGAGTTGGTAAAACATATTTTTCGAAGATAAAAATACAAACTAATATTATAAATGCGAAAGTAACTCTGTCTGTCCTTTCTTCACACTTAAACTACTGAACCGATTTCTGTGAAATTTGGTACAGACATAGTTTGGAACTCGAGAAAGGACATAGGATTGTTTTTAAACCAAAACTCTGCAGAAAGTAAAGTTGTTCATATGTTACTAAGTAATAACTTTTGGAAAACTAAATCTAATTATTAATTGTTTTGATTATTCGACGTACAGCGTTTTTTGGCGATAATTTTTGTAATCGGCGTTATTATAATTAAAGGATGGATTCATTATTTGTTAGTTTTATATGCCTTCCAACTATGTAGTAGATAAATATGTGGATTATATTGATATAAACACTACCATTTATTATTATTAAGAAATATTAAAAGGCCTGTTTTATAATGTCTGATAGAGTTACTGTTGATCTAACTGACGGATATGATGAGATGACTAACCCCCGGTTTCCGAAAGGCCGATCAATGTTAAAATCAATTTAATCTCTTGTCAAGTGATGTGATTGGTTGACTGAATTATCAACAACAATCAGATTACTTGACAAGAGATTTAACAGGAGATTAGTTAATTTTAGCGTTGACAAGCCTTTTCACAAAGCTGGTGTAAACTTCAGATCTCATCTAAGACATCTTTGGATCTAATTGAGTGACTTAGAAATATCCGACTTAACGAGCAGACGGATTACCTGATGGTAAGCAATCAGCGCCGCCCATGGACACCCGCAACGCCAGAAGAGTTAAGAGTGCGAGGTCGGCTTTGAGAGGATCGGGCCTCTATAGTTGTCACGCGGCGTGACACAAAGCCAGTGTATTGTGAGGCCGTGGTATCACGAAATGCCTCTATATGTTTTAATGTAATAGGTCGACGAACGTGCTGACAGATTACTTGATGGTAAGCAATCAGCGCCGCCCATCGACACCCCCAACAACAGAGGTGTTACGAGTGCGTGGGCGGCCTTGAGAGGATCGGGCCTATATTTACGTCACGCGGCGTGACACAACGCCTATGTACTGTAAGGCCGTGGCGCCACGAAATGCCTCAAATATCTATCAGATAAGCTATCAGTAACTAAATCAGACAACATATAAAACAGTTCCTTCACTACATAAGAAAGTTGACAATTTCTTGCTGAAGTTAAATAAAACCTATAAATAATTTTGGTATAGACATATTTCCCTCAAAAATCAAAGCCTTCAGAGGGAGACAGAGAATAACTCCGTCTCTTCCACGCAATTTTAAAATTTCAATTCTGAGATGTTTTCACGCCATATCCCGTCAATGGTCATAGACGGGGAATAACTCCGTCTCTTTCAGACGATTTTGAAACTTCCTGAGATGTTTTCAACGCCAAATTTGATCTTAGACTGGTATTTTTAACTCGTAAAAATTCCAGTAAGCCTATACGCCGCTAATATTTAGTACCGATGGCAACCAAACATGGATCTCTCCCTAGAAGACGAGTAGACGCATTTGAGCCGCTTAGAATAAGGTTTTGAATGAATTATATGCCTTATTTATATGCACGAAAGGTTATTTTTTGCGTTTTTAACTAAAATTATGAAAATAATTGAAAAAGAGTATCCGAGTTTCTTTCTCTTTCTTGACTTTCTTTTCTTTGGTTTTTAATCATTTTGGCTCATTCTAAGCGACTACAAAGTACGGTCTACTGGTCTTCTCGTCTACCGGTCTACCGGTCTACCCGTCTACTCGGCCTCAATCTTTAGATATTCTACCTTGGTGATCTTCTTCGGGTCGGAGGTGCCCGTCTCGAGCACTTCGACCTTCTGGTACACGTTGGGCGAGTTCAGCCAGCGAGTACGCTCACCCGTCTTGCCTTGACCTTTCTTCCACAATCTGTGAATATAGTAAAAAAATATAAGAAGCTTGTGGTTACAGGGGTTATTTTCAATTGGGTTATAACTGAAAACATGAGAATATACTCAAAAACCTTCGATACAAGGTGGTATTTTGAACGACGGACATATCCAAGGAACCGATCATTGTGCTAAATTACAACAATTTTTTCTATAACACAAACAGCAATAACCAAATCTCAATAAAATGAGAGTTATTAGGCCTCCGGTAACCTCACTGACACGGCGAAACACAAAGCTGTGGTTGTTTCACGCCGGTTTTCTATGAAGCCGTGATATCACTCCAGTCGAGCCGACCCATTCGTACCGAAGCATGGCTCTTAAATGTGCAATATTTTAGTTACTGCAAGTCTTCCTTACCCTTGCTTGTAGAGTTCCTCCTCCTCGAGCAAGTATCCGAGCGAGGACACCGCCGGAGGTACCTCCACGTCATTCTTGGGCCGGGGAACGTCGTTCTGAACACACAAAATATAAACATTAATACATTTCATACTGAATTCTACGCAATCTAGATAATAATAATATGGAACCTAAAAACCTCGGGTTCTTTTTATATTTTAAATACGTTGCTCCTAACTAGGATTTTCTCCTGTGTCGTGGCTGCGTTTAACAAACTTACAATGTCACATACACATCACACCCAGACTCACGGAACAACAATTTGTGGATCAGACAGAGTTGTTCCGCACGGGAATCAAACTCACGACACGTTGCGCGGCAACCAGTTGCTCAACCACCGTGCCAACCGTGCTGTTAAAAATGTTAACTGACCATGCCACTTGATTTTTTAGCTAATATACAATACCTTTGAATTTGTTTCGGCATTAATTCTCAGAGTAGTCATAGTAGGAAATGCCGGCTTCATTTTGATTTTTGTATATTACGACGAGACTCTTTTTATTATTAAATACTTTAGTTTATTGAAAAGATTGGTCATCATCCTCATCATCAGTGCTCACTGCTGAGTAAACGCCTCTTCTCACACGGAGAAGGTTATAAGCAGACATTATACGAGGGGCGTTCAATGTATTCTCGGTATAGGCATGAAAGAAAACTCGGAAAATTTTGGAAAAATTCTATTTTTCAATGTAGTCCCCTAGACCCTCAACACATTTGTTAGATCGAGGAATTAGCTTCTTTAAGCCTTGTAAAAAATATTCTTCTGGCTTCTCCTCAAAATGGGTATTAATTGCTACCTTCAGTTCATCATCGTCGAAAAATCGCTTTCCACGAAGATCTTTCTTCAAATTCGGGAATAGGTAGTAATCACTGGGGGCCAAGTCTGGACTGTACGGAGGATGATTAATTTCTTCGAAGCCACAGTCCCGTACAGCAGCCTTCGCCACGCGGGCCGTGTGAACCGGCGCGTTGTCATGAAGCAGCAACACCCCCGCTGTGAGTTTTCCTCGCCTCTTTTCTTTAATTGCTTCCCTTAAATTACGCAAAGTGGTTGCGTATGATGCTGCTGTGATGCTTTCACCTTTTTTAGTGTATTCTATTAATAAAATACCTTTAGAATCCCAAAAGACCGTAGCCATTATTTTTCCGGCTGAAGGGGTGACTTTGAACTTCTTCGGAGGCTGTGCACCCTTTTTCACCCACTGCATGGACTCCTGTTTACTCTCAGGGTCATAGTGATGAACCCACGTCTCATCTCCAGTAACCAGCCGGTCGAAAATACTCGACGGATCTTCTCCACAGAGCTCTAAAAACTCCTTACAGCACTCGACTCGCACTTGTTTCTGAGGCGCGGTGAGCATTCTCGGCACCCATCTTGCACTGACCTTTGAGAGATTAAGATGGTCATGAAGGATTGCATGTATGGTACCCACAGATAGGTTAATCATCTCTGCTAACATCCCGATTTTTATTCTGGTATCTTCAAGTACCAATTTCTCCACTTTTTTAACATTTTCTTCAGTGAGGGCGCTTACGGGCCCACCCGAGCGAGGGTCGTCTTCAATGCTTTCTCTGCCTCTTTTAAATTCACTTGACCACTTTTGAACGGTGGATAACGACGGAGCAGAGTCTTGGTAAACAGCAACCATCTCTTCGTGAATGGTATTTTGACTTTTTCCCTGCTTAGTGAGGAACTTTATAACAGCGCGATGCTCGATTTTCTTAATCATTGTAGCGTCAGTCATTCTGATCGTCTTTCACTGCAGATAATTAGAAAACTAATGAACGTAAATAAGTGAAATTTTATATTTATACCCTCAGATAGTGTCATTAGTAAATGAGATAATTAGATTACCCACATTATTAGCAAATCACCCCGATACCGAGAATACATTGAACGCCCCTCGTAAGTCCAGGTTTCCTCACGATGTTTTCCTTCACCGTATATCAGTGGTGTTTAATTTTTAATCATCATAGAATGTACAGTCAGGGGTCGAAAATACAATTGCACTCTAGCAATTTTAAAATAACTTAGACATATAACTTAGAAAAAGTCACATTGGTACATGTCAGGTTTCGAACTCTCATTCATGAGAAACCGGTGACCTAACCTAACCTAATTTCTTATTTTTGAATAGCAAATAGTATGAGACGCGTATACAGGGTGTAAAAAGACACTTAACGAAGCCGTTAACTACGCATACTCCAGTTCTAACTAAGTAGCTTTACGCTAAAATTATCACTGGGAAACGACTTTTATTTTTAGGTATCAAAAAAAATAATAATTTTATTGCGCGCAATGTAAAGCAAGCGGGCTTCGTGTCATTGTGTGCGTAGGTTCACAGCTTAGCATTAAAACGCTGTGATAAGTACGTAGGTCGACGTTTTACTTCGCAACAACAAAACAATTCTGTAAAATAAAAAAATATTAAAAATGCATCTTTGACTTTCAATATCTCGAGAACCCGTGGAGTCCCATCTATGGTCTTGAAGAAAAAAATGATCCAAATAATGGGTAGAATACGTGGCTTTCGGCTTCGTTTAGTGTCTTTTTACACCCTGTATATGTTTGTGTATACCTTGATGAGCGGATGCCTGTAGATGTACCCGGTGCGGAAGCCGGCGTTGTCCAGCATCCGCATGAGCGCCTCGAACTCCTCGCCGCCCACGCGCCACTTGCTCGAGTCCGACGGAGGCTTGCGGGACGCCTCGTATATCTACGGACGGGAATACATAAACAAATTGGTATTTTTATAGAAGAAAAAAATTATCTAGAATATACACTTTTGCAAAAGCTATTACAAGTTTTTAATATTATTATAAGATGCTTGAGTGTTGGTAAAGATTGTTAAACAATCAAATGTATTCAATTATGTTGTGGTTGTTTTTAAAGTAAAATCTATACTAATATTATAAAGAGGTACAATTTGTAAGTTTGTTTGTAGGGTTTAATCTTTGGAACCGCTGAACGGATTGTCAAAATTCTTTCACTGATAGACTATAGGCTATAAAACATCACGCTACGATCAAATGTAGCTGAGCAGCGGGTGAAACCGCGCGAGAGTAGCTAGTATTTTATAATAACTTTCGTAAGACATTCTAAATTAATTATTATGTTTTCGGCTTACTCACGTAATAATTGTCTACAATATACACTTTTGCAAAATCTGTTATAATATGAGATGCTTGAGTGTTGGTAAAGATTGTAAAACAATCATATGTACTGCATAGTTGTTTTTATAGTAAAATTTATAATATATAGAGAAATAATAATACATTATTTTTATTTACAAAATCCATTAAAAAAAGGGTTGATCGTTTCGTTTCGATTTTTGTATGATGTATCATAAATGTAGAAATTAAAAATTTTGTGTAAAAATAAAACAAATTAGGGGTTTTTATAACATACCCCCTAACATTTAGGGGGATGATAAGCACAAAAAAATTCATCAAAATCGGTCAAGTCGTTTCGGAGGAGTATGGCAACGAAAACTGTGATACGATCATTTTATATTATATTTTATGTGGGGGAAGAATCACTATGTCATTGTGATTTCTCCAGCACGGGATGCAGCGAGAGAGTGTATCACTCTCTTACTGGGTAAGCCCCTTCACTTCCATTTTCTTCTAAAAGCCGGAACTGGGGTATAGCATTGCTTCTACTATTTATATTAAAATATATAAATCAGGAAAATTGAAATTGCAATACTAACTTCAGCCAGCGGCTTATCCTGTATATATATACATGGGTCGATTTCAAATTTGGGGCCAAAAGCATATAATTTCATTTATTTCTCATGATGTAGAATTTATCGTAACTTTAATTATTTTAAATCATGTAGTCTTATGAGACGTTCAAACGCCAGTTACAACGAATCTTTTATGATTGTAAATTAAAAAGACATATCCAAAACTAGTACCTATTTCTCATTTGTGTTAATGCTCCAAAGTCTTATTTTTTTAAAATCTCTCTAAAAAACGAAATAACGCGTCAAGGAAATTTTAATTTTATTGTGGTATTTTTCTGTATACACTTTAAAGATGAATAATTAGATATTAAAACGAATGTTGGGTATTAAAAAATATGTTTTTTTTAGCTTTCTAAAACTGTTGGTTTTTAAAGTATCATTTGTGTGACCGTATTAAAATGCATCAGTAAATAGAATTCTTCCCTGATTTACCCCGCCCTTTACCCCGCGCGCGTCCCGTGTGCTCAGTCGTGACCGTACGCGCGTGCTCGTCAGTTGTGTGTGGCGTTATTTTAAGAGAAATTCCAAATTTCAGGTAAGATTTTGACTTCGGTAACAAATTTATATCATTAGTGTTTTGTCACATATTGTGCAAAGTTAAATGTGTTTTTTGTTTTTGATTTGGCTGTTTAACAACCCATTTAGAGGATATTTTGTTTCCAATGTACGGTATATTCTAGAACGTTCTATTTACAAAATAAATTCGAATTACTTCCAAAAATCTCATTCGTGTCACTTTCATTTGTGTCGATTCACGAGTCACACGAATTATATGGAAAGTCACACTAATGATTTTTTTGTTTGCTTTCAGATTAAGTATTAAATAATGGCAAAACCAAAAAAAACAAAAAAGTGAGGAAGAATTAGAGAGGCGTAGAATAGCTAGAAGACAAAAATATCAAACTATTAAAAACAATCCTGAGTTACATGCCGCTGAGCAAGAAAAAAAAAGACAATATTACTTAAAAGCGAAGGAGAATAAAAAAATTAAAAGTATTAACGAAATGAGCCCACGCGAGCAAAGAATTCAAAGACGAAAATGGAAAGAGAGTTCCAAAAAGTTTTATAGAAAGAAAGTAAGCCAAAGAATTATAGAGAACGTTGCAGTAACTGAAGAAAGTTGTGATATTGAAAATGTTAACATGAATACAGATCCTTTAAATATAGAAAACCAAGAAATAAAACCCAAAATAAGTATGCGTGAACAAAAACTAATAAAAAAAAATCAAAACAATGAAAATACAGCACGAAAAAGAGAAACGAAATTATATATTATTATTAAATAGGTACAGGTTCAGGTTAAATTATTTAAAAAGAAAAATATCTACACTAACAGGTGAAATAAGTAATGAAGCAGAAAAAACAAAAAATGAAGACAAGAAGCAATTATTTGATAGACTTCTAAGTGCTGAAATAACACAGAAATTTGCAAAAACTGCAAACAGGAAAGACAAACGCGTTATCACTAAGTTAATTGATAAAGAGAAGTTTAAAAAATTTAAGGTTGCTACTGACCTTCGGAAAGTTCATCTTCGAGAACGATTTAAGAAGAATGCACGTAATAACATCAACATTCAAAAATTAGTAGAAAAGTTTTACGAAGACGACATTAACAGTCGCATTACTCCAGGCAAGAAACAATATAAAAAGAAACATGGAATCGTTAAACAAGTCAGATATCTTTTAGATTCTATAAAAAACTTACACAAGAAATTTTTGGCTGAAAATACTAACATTAAAATTAGTTACACGACTTTTACAAGACTCAGACCATTTTGGGTCTCTCTTCCGACTGACGACCGTGATACGTGTGCCTGCTTGTTGCACACAAATTCTAACTTATTAATAGCGGCTCTTCATAAGAATAATATTCTTCATGTAAAAGATAGTCATAATTTGATAAAGGAAATCTGTTGTGATAAATACAGGCTAGATTGTCTTAATCGCAAATGCGCTTCATGTAAAAATAAAACAGTACCTTATAAAGAATTCCGAAACGATAAAGAAATACAGTACATGGTATGGGAAAGAGACACCAAAAAAGTTGACACGAAAGAAATAAAAATAATCAAGAAGAAAACAAAGAGATCTGATCCTCGTAACCTGATAATTGAACTGGAAAATATGCTGCCAAATTTTTTGTCCCACACGAGTAACATTGTCAACCAGTATGCTACTATTAAATGTTTAAAAGAATCTCTAACTACTAACGAAGCCTTGGTTCATATGGATTTTTCGGAAAATTATTCTTATAAATATTCGGAGGAAGTACAAAGCATGCATTTTGGTGGCAGCCGTGGTCAAGTCTCACTTCATACAGCAGTGGTTTATTTAAAAAATGATTCCAATGCTACTCAATCCTATTCTGTTTGCACAGCCAGTGAATGTACCCGTCATGATGCAGCGGCAGTGTGGGCTCATCTAAATTATTTAATTAAATTTGTGTTTAACAGATCATCACAAATTAATCGCATCCACATTTTAACAGATAGTCCCACAAGCCAGTACAGAAATAAATATATATTTTATATATTAACTCAATTAAGGAATGACTTCCCAGATCTAAATCTCGTCACGTGGAATTATCAAGAAGCTGGGCACGGCAAGGGTGCTCCTGATGGCATTGGAGCAGTAATCAAAAGGACTGCCGATTATGAATTAAAGTGTCATCAGGATGTCGGAGACTTTGATGCCTTTGTTAACATTATTCGAAGAAATATAAAAAACGTAGAAATGGGTATTATTCAAGAGCACGAAATTAAATTAAGGGAATTAATGTTGCCTAAAGATATTGCCACTTTCAAGGGGACTATGACAGTTCATCAGGTATATTTTATACAACAAATAAAAAATATACTGATGTTACCATATACAATGTAATAACAATACATATATTTTCCTTACAGGTCATTTGGGCAGCTGATTCTGCTTATCTAGAATTTAGAAAACAGAGCTGTTTCGAATGTATAAGTGTCGCTTGTAAACATGGCAAACATATGAGATTTTTTAAGATATATAATACTCCAATTGGATCTACAATGGAAAATGTAAAGGTCATCTTGGAAAACAAAAGAATTAAGGTACTTAGTGATGTTACCATTCGTTATGCTAATACCGATGATCCAATGTTACATGACAGCACACCATCAACTTCAAGTCTCCGCAGTATTCGACACTCCTGGGCCAATAAATGTTTTATAAATAATTATACAAAAGCGACAGATCACGAAAAAGAATTCCTTGATTTTTTAAAAAAATGTGAAGATGATGATGACGATCCCTTATCAGATTAATTAATGAAGAAGCTATTAATAATATGGATATTGTTATTGTACACGCAATGAAAAAGGAGTAGCGTTAACCAATCTTGAAGACTGAAATCAGAAATGTATACCATTGATTAGCTTAGTTGAATAAGATATTGTTTTGGAATTAAGTTTAAAATAATTAATATCTGTAGTACGGTGACCGGCACATCCACCTTCACTGCAATAATGTTACTACCCTACCTACTATTAATAATGTTAATGACAAATATTTTATGTTTTGTTGATTATTTATTAATTTTCATTAGTGTTACCAGAGATCTCATTAGAAAATCACAAAATATCATTAGAGAAATTATATTGCTCATTTGTGTCACTCAAAAATGTGTATTTTCCCTGTTATTGGAAGAAATTAAAGGTTTGTTTGATTAGCATGTGTTTTTTTAACTAATGAATGCACCTAGATATATAAACATATATTTTTTTAATATTTTTGAAATATCATGCAATTCACACTTTTTTGGCCCCAAATTTGAAATCGACCCACATACTACAAAACAGTCGCTTTCTCTGTCCCTATATCCCTATGTATGTTTTAATCTTTAAAACTACTACAATCTATCTGTGTGCCAAATTACATTCAGATCCGTTCAGTAGTGTTTACGTGAGAGAGTAACAAACATTCATCCGTACTTACACACTTTCGCTTGGTAAGTACATATATGTGACATATATGTGACATATATGTGTTTTGATGTTCATGTCAATCTTCTTATATATAAAAATGGATCGCAAAATGTGTTGGTGAGCGCATAAGTCAACAACGCCTGGACCAATTTTGCTAATTCTTTTTTTGTTGTGTTTGTTATTGTCAGGAAAAGATTCTTATCAAAGAAAATATAAGAAAAGTAGAGGGGAAAATTGGGAAAAAGTGACCCTTTGATAGCGAGATAGTTGGACCCGTGCGAAGCGGGGGCGGGCCGCTAGTAATAGATAAAATATTAACGAATGTTTTCTATACAAAAACACTTTTATGTATGGGTTTCTGGTTTGAAATAAATAATTCAAAAACAATACCTGTCTACGAGTGTCCTCATCTAGCAGCGTGAGCTCATCGAGGGGCAGAGACGCGAGCCTGAGCTGGACCTCGCAGGCGGCAGCCAGGTTCCTCGCATGATGGAAGGCCTCCTCGAGGGTAGCGCCGCAGCAGAGCGCTCCGGCGCCGCTGAGGACGAGGAGCTTGGCGTGGGGTCCGAGGGCGCGGACGAGCTTGTCCTTCTCGGCGTTGTCGAGTACGCCGGGCGGGACGGAGTGGTAGGCGACGTCCCCGAGCAGGGCGGCCTCGTGGCTGAGCGGCAGCAGGCCGCGCCGCGTGCTGGACACGGCCAGCGCCGCGGGGGCCCGCACGTGCAGCACGCACCGCACGTCCGGACGCGCCGCGTGCACGCATGCATGCACTGAGAAACCTGGGGGGGGGGGCATCAGCCTCATATTTATTATCACATCATCAGCCATCAGGCTCCTCATTCTCTCACACGGAAAAGGCTTGAGCATTAATTCATCTAAACCCAAGTGAAAGCACACTTTACTTAGGAGTAGACACTTTAGACTGACGATGATGAGATACTTATCCGACTAAATGTAACAAAGAAAGAAATTGCAAAACTGATTGGAGAGTTGAAGAGATTATAAAGTGTCTTGCTCTTGTTTTCTATTGGAATCTAAAATTTGAAATGATTAAATAGCTTCGCTAGAGGTATAACCGCAGACTGGCACTTTATATCTTTAAACTTTGTAACTGATGACAATGAATATAATCAAATGAAATTCTTTATTTCAAGTAGACCACAAAACGCACTTTTGAACGTCAAGCAAAAAAGATATCATAAGGTTTAACTTTATAAGTGTCAGTCTATCCGTCTGTCCTCTAGTGAAGTTAATCTTACCTAATCATAATCTAAATCATTTTATTACAATAATAACAAAAAAATAATATCTTATACATAAATACGATGCACTATGTTTTATGCATGATAAAACAAACAAATGTATCGATTTATAATTTAAATAAAAATACGAAATACATTTTCAAACTTACAAATAATATAATTAATCGTTCAAGAACTCAGCAACCATTTGTGTAATAAAATTGATCAATATCATTAAATTAATTAACGCCAAACATTCAAAAAGAAAATCAAAAAAGTCAAAAACCAAATACATTTATTCCAACTAAACCATAAATAGGTACTTTTGAAACGTCAAAATAGAATAGTAGTCTGTCAGTCTGTACGTCAGTGAAGCTAGGTGCTCGTTTGAAATTGTAGATTCGAATGGAGAAAAACGAGAAAGGAACTCCCCATCGTTACTTTTTTTCCCAAAACTAATATTTGTCTTCACTTCTCCCCTTTCTAAGTTAAATTCTAATCCTCCTAGCACTCCCGAAGACTGAGAAAGACTATAAGTCCTAAGGACTAAATGAGGGTGTCTCACCATCGACGTTGACGGGGAAGTTGGTGGTGCCCTGGTCCTGCACGGCGCCCTGCATGTCGACCTTGACGAGCGAGGACGCCGTCACCTCGTGCGGCAGCAGGCCGCGCGGCGTCGTCAGCACCGACTCCACCGCCGTGTTCAGGCGGGCCGTGATCTGACCGTGGTTGCCCGCTGTACAACCAAATATATTACATTATATTCAAAAATTTACACATTGCCTTATAGGGGGATAAATAAGCAGACAGATCTCTTGCTGGCTGGCAAAGTGTGGGAAAGCCAAGCTTCAGTACGAATGGGTCGGCTCGACCGGAGTGATACTACGGCCTCACAGAAAACCGGCGTGAAACAACCACAGCTTTGTGTTTCGCCGTGTGAGTAAGGTTACCGGAGGCTCAATCCTTCCTTTCCCCCAATCCCTAAATCTCCAAATTCGTAATCCTCAAAAGATCGGCAACGCACTCGTAACTCCTAATATTATAAAGTTTTGTAAGTTTGTATGTAGGGTATAATTTTTGGAACCGCTGGTCGGATTGCCAAAATTCTTTCACTGATAGATAGCTACAATGTTCCTGAGTGCTATAGGCTATACAACATCACGCTACGATCAAATGGAGCCGAACAGCGGGTGAAACCGCGTGAGAGTACCTAGTCATCATCTTCCTGCCCTTGTCCCGTTTTATTTGGGGTCGGCGCAATATGTTTTTTTCTTCCATTCTGTCCTGTCACTCGTCACGCTATCGCTAACTCCTCTGTCTTCCATATCACTTCTCACACAATCCATCCATATTTTCTTTGGTCTCCCTCTCTCTCTCTCCATCCACCCACATTTATACTCATGGCTTTTTTTTAACATGCGTTTCATCCCTCCTTGAGAGTGGCTAGTATAAAATAGAAACGGTAACTCACTCTGCGTCCACCCGAAGAGGTCCACCAGCCGGTAGACGGCTGCGAGCTTGCAGCGGAGGATCTTCTCTCCCTTCTCGTAGCCGACGCCCTCTATACCACGGATGTCGTTGATGGGAAGCACGCATGCGGGACCCTGCGGGGAGATCAGGAATAAAGAATTATCCAGTGTCTCAAAGTAAAAAAAAGTTTTGCAAAAGGTCACAGTTTCTGGGAAAGGTTAATTAGGTACTTTACTTGGTCAAATATAAGTTTGTTTTTTTTTTTCATCTTTACAGTGAATTAAATAAATATGAAAAAATAATCACACTTTACAACAAAGCAGTAGACCTCACAACACATAATACCTTCTAATAAATATTATAAAGAGATAGAATTTGTAATCGATGGTCGTTTTTCCAAAATTATTATTCACTGATACTAGTTTCTACTCGTTAAACACTAACCAGGAGTGGCAGTACTCCATAAAATACATAAAAAAATCGATCTTGACAACTCGAAAAAAGTATTTAATTCGTTAGTGTCTAACGAGTAGAAGCTATAGTTGTCTCTGAATGAATCGCAACATGTAATATGATGTGTGAGTTTTTACGTCAAATATTCTACTTATTTCTATAAAATCTAAAATTAAGTAAGTATATCGTCAAATCAATGAAAGTAAGTAGGATTGACATATTTTAGCAGCAAATAATTCATAGTTTAAATCAACCTAATTACTCGAGCTTTATATACTTCTAGGTTATATGGCCGACACTTTGTGTACATTAGTTAAACAATAGTTATTATGTAATATAATTATATATTTATAGTATTGTTAAGTGTTATAAATTATAGTATTATATACGTTTATATGGGTCTTTGAGGCCCTAAAAATTGATAAATAAATAAAAAAGTATATTTTTCTAAGAACATAGACTATGTCACAAAATAATTCCACTTTTTATCGGCATAAGTTCTCACCCTCATACTCCCAGTATGCAGTCTCCCGCCGACCATCTCGCGGATCCTCTGCAGCAATGGCGCGTCGTTACCCTCGTGCATCTGCTGGTCAAGGACACGCTCCAGCTCCTCGCGGAACAGCTTCGAGGACATCAGCGCTTCCACGCGCTTACGACGCTCCATCTCGCGGACATCCTGCAATGAGGTGATATATTCAGTATAGTTATAAGAAATTGTGCTGTTAGTATAATGTGAATTTTAGTGGTATGAAGATAATGTTGAATTTAGTCTTAATTTATTTTCATTTATATCTAGCCGGACCGCCAAACTTCATTCCGCTTTTTTTAAACGTTGCCCACACTAGAATTTTCTCCTGTGGGTGCGGTTACAAGCATACAATTTCACATGCACATGACATCCAGATCCGGACCAACAATTTGTGGACCACACAAAGGGTACGTGCGGGAATCGAATCCGCAACAGGTTTCACGGCAGCCAGTTGCCCAGCTACAGCACCGTGCCGTCAAATTAAATTATCTAATGTTTTTTGACCTTTTTTGATCCCTTCGCTGAACTTCAACGAACAATGTAAGATAAAAATATCCAAAACGGACCAACCGTTCTCGAGTTTTAACGAGACACACACACACTAATGAACAGGAATTCATTTTTATATGAGAATCACGAATTCAGGCTGCATTAGCAACATCCGCTACCCTGTCTGTCCTACTTGCATGAAAGGACAGGTATTTAACACCCCTGGAAAGAGTAGAGGTGGTATCAAATGTAGGTACTATAATATTATAAATGCGAAAGTTTGTATGAAAGTCTAGATGTATACATATTTGTTATTGTTTCACCCAAAAAGGCTGGACCGATTTGGTATTAAGTAGGATACCCTTCTTTTTTTGTGAGGGGGAAATCCTCAAATGACATCTCCCGCCCAGATTGAGGCGAAAAGGAGTGTCAGACTCTTACTGACTAAAAACCCTCCATTTCAACTCCTACAACAACTTTAAGCCGAGGTTGCGGTACCTTTTTTACTAACCCCGCAACCCTGGATTAACACCTAGGCCATACCACATAGGGGAAGCGACGGACATACATATCTAAATTCTAAAAACTACATCATAAGTAGTACTTCATGTTGATAAATTTGAGAAGACAACAGTCTGCCTTCTTCAAGTAGAGTAACGTTATACTTACAGCATCGATGTCGGCGGGTCTCTGCTTCAGCCTCTCGTCCTCCTCCTCGGTGGACAGCGGGCCCGTGCCGTTGGCCAGCGGCTCGGTGTCGGTGTCTGCCATTGTGGGCGGCACGGCGAACACTGGAACTGCAATAATAATTCATTACTCAACTGAAAATAAATTAAAATGGTGGTCTGAATATTAAGGCCACTTCATCATCGTCATCATCAGCCTATAAGTGCCCACTGCTGAGCAAAGGCCTCTTCTCACACGGAGAAGGTTAGAGCATTAATCAACAAGCTCGCTTAATGTGGATCGCCAATTTCAAACTTATAATTAGAAAAATCTAAGTCCAGATTTCGCCGTATGTCAGTGGTGTCTAAATAATCTAAGAAAGTACATGTAACTCGGAAAAAATCACATTGCAAGCCAGATATACTTTCTATGATTATTTAGACATCACTGAAACGCGGCGAAACCTGGACTCTTTAAAATAATTTCTAATTATAACAAAACAAGGGACATCAACAAAGTAACATGTATATTTCATCGCGTATACTCCTAAACTGTCGAACCTATTTTGATGAAACTCCAGGAGAGAGAAAAACATTCAATAAGTACCCACTTAAAAATCTACACCAAAGCTAAAACCTGTATAGTAACGAAATGACATCATTTAAAATCGATAAATGCATTATTGCAGCCGTGTGCGTCGTCTGCCCAAATGAGTATAGATATTAGTCACAGCTGGCAATAGTGATTGGTGGCTGCCATATTTAGGAGGTGGCCTAAGTACCGGACTGAATGCGTAATGTACATGGCACGATAAGTTTTGGCGCCATTGGTGAGATATGTCGACTAATGATAGGGATAAAAAAAACTAGGTTTAAAAAACAGACTTCAAAAACAAAAAAGTGTCAAATAAGTAATTGAAATTGATATTTTAATACCACTCTTACGTACGCGAAGCTAATACTTTTAATATTAATAATAAAACACTATCAATACTACTCCAAATAGTCAAGGAGATCCCTCGACTGTCTTCCAGCTCCAACATCTGGTCCACTTCGACCTTCGTCAAGTTGTAGTGTTGTTAAAGGCCTACTTAAACATCATACAAAAAAACTACTCGCCCCTACAATTTTCGAAAGTTCCTCTCGGTTTCTCCAGGATTCCATCATCAGATCCTGACCTCATGACAATGGGACCAAATGGCAAGTATACCCTATCGAATAAAAAAAGTATTTTGCAAATCGGTCCAGGCGTCTTCGAGTAATCGGTGTACATACATAAAAAAAAAATACTCGTCGAATTGAGACCCTCCTCCTTTTTTGAAGTCGGTTAAAAATGAAACTTAATTTTATAATAGTCCTAGCGGCCCGACCCCGCTTCGCATGGGTCCATTTATCTCGCTATAAAAGGGTCACTTTTTCCTAATCTTCCCCTCTACTTTTCTAATATTTTTTTGATAAGAACCTTCTCCTGACAATAACAAACACGACAAAAAAAGAATTAGCAAAATTGGTCCAGGCGTTGTTGAGTTATGCGCTTACCAACACATTTTGCGATCCATTTTTATATATAAGAAGATAGAAAGATAGATCGAGGACCTAGCAGTTTGATCATTCGATGATACGCAAACGTACTACTTGGGTTGACTGGATTATACGCAATGTGACCCACACTTTATGCCATTTGTAATGACATCAATGATACCAGAAACGCCCTGATACCGAAAATGTTATCAGGTAAACCGCTGGCTCGGTTGCCGACCTTATGACATAAAAGAACGCTAAAACGGTTGGACCGATTTTTGTTTAAACGTTGCCCCACACTAGGATTTTCTCCTGTGTCGTGGGTGCGTTTACAAACATTCAATTTCACATACAAATCACACCCAGACCCGAAACAACAATTTGTGGATCACACAAAGTGTTGTTCCGTGCGGGATCGAACCCGCGACCAGTTGCCCAGCCACTGCACCAACCGTGCAGTCAAGCAGTTTAATTGTGGTATGTATCCTGGATTAACGCATAGGCTGCTGTTTATCAATATGGTGGCAGATGGTACTGGTATGGTACCACAAATCGATCAAGTCTTCAATATTTCATCTGACTATCGCACTATCGGACAAGACCACGCGGAAGATCACCTATGCGTTGGACTGACCGGGTGAAATCGGCAGTAGGAACGCGTGTATCTGACTGCACCAGACAGTCTGCCAACAGGGAGAGATGGCGGGAGATCGTGCGGAGACTTGTGTCCGCCTCTACCAGCGATGTGGATGCCTCTACGTGACCACGACCGCTCTGCCAAGAGCGAAAAGACAGAGAAGAAGGAATCGCAGATTCATTATCGCTTAACACTAGATGAGATAATCCCGGGAAAATGTTAATCATGAAGGGTGGAATTTGATGCATGCCAGTTGCTTTCTAGCAAGGAAATTGCCATAAAGACAATGGCAATCCGAATTGAGAAAAACGAGCAAAACACTCCACGGTTACTATATGTCGCAATGCCCATCGCAGATCCATCCGCATAAATGGCCCTAGTTGGTGCAGTTCATACATAGATGTGGGAATAAATGGCGATAGGGATGAAAAGACTGAGTGCCAGGTCGGTCGACGGAGTGTGTGAGCGGGATGGAGTGAATGAGGAATATAATGTGAAAGGTGTTAGACGTAACCAGGGTGACGACGGGTAACGAGCCAAATTTTTCTGAGCGGTTTTATTTAAAAACATCCTCGATCCCCGGTACGAGTAGAGCTACATAGATATGAGCTAAACGCTTAGTAATCATTGTATGAACTAGATGCAAAGGAAATTGAATGAATGCACTCGTGGTGCGGAGCATTGTTACTGCGCCTCAGTCTATTGTAAGATAAATCGGTCTTTGATTGAAGGTGTCCTACATTTGTGGAAAGATTGAGATAGAATAGGATGTAATTATAATTACCTAGCGACATGTCCCGGCGGTACTAAAATTCTCCACTATATAATAAATGTTATTATACATATAAACCTGCTTCTTCAATCACTTTATCTGTTGAAAAAACGCACTAAATTCCGTTACGTAGTTTTAAAGCATACATAGGGATATAGGGACAGAGAAAGCGACTTTGTTTTAATGTCGTAGTAACGTATCCAACTGCCTCGTTGTTAGTCATTTGTTTCCTTAGCGAATGGCCACATCATCGTGAGGGTTGCTCTTGCTAAATCCCTAATTTCCCTTCTGCAATTCTTGGCGAGCACTAACACAAGCAAAAAATTTAATGCCAAAATAGTCCAGAGTTATGCGCTTTCCGGAACATCGTATGACTTCACATTGGCTAACTATGATTGTACGTTGATGTGTCCTCAAGTGATTGGCTTTGCGAATAAATGCAGTGAAGAGTTTTACAACATTTTAATTCTAAAAGGCCGGCAACGCAACTGTGACTTGTCTGGTATTGCAGGTGTCAATGGGCGGCACTGATCGCTTACGATCAGGTGATCCATCTGCTCGTTCGCCTCCTATTCCATAAAAAAACCATATTCAGGGCAAGTTAGTACAGTTACACTCATTTTTATGGGACAGGTCGGCGAACGAGCAGACGGGGTCACCTGATCAGGACATAAGCAATCGACGCAAACCGTTCATGGACATCCAAAACACCGGAAAAATTACAAGTACGTTACCGGCCTTTTAGGGATTAAGAATATGAGGATAAGGGGATGAGAGAAACTAGAGATCCAATCCGCCTAAAGCTAGTCACACTTAAAAATAGTTCCTTCCTCCGTCGTTTTTCAAATTCAACAAAGCTACTAAACAATCAAACACACCCAAATTTTTTTGTATCAAAAACCTTACAAAATGTACGCGGAAACTATTACACAAGCTTTGTACTGTATATCATTATAGCACATAATTATATAGCGCAGATACCTTACAACGGGTTTGTAAAAAAACCGACGCCCACTCGTACTATGGCGATTATATTTTTTGGCTATTTTTTTGACACGCTGTTGTGCCCACCGAGGGTACTATTATATTTCGTGTTTTAGCGTTTATTTGAATAAATAAGTTTATATAAACCAATGCTCTTTTTTTATGTTTTAGGAGGCAAACGAGCAGTCGGATCACCTGATGGTAAGCGATCAGCGCCGCCCAAGGACACCTGAAACACCAGAGGAGTCACGGTCGTATCGGTTCGGAAATACCTGTGGGAAATACTGCCGCCGAAAAACCGTTATCAAGTTTTGCTATGCGAGAAAGAAAATTTATCAAGTCAAAGCATTTGTTTGACACTACTGATCGAGTTCCTCGACAAACAGTTCTGTGAGTAAGCCTAAAAACATCACTACATAGTATAAAACAAAGTCGCTTTCTCTGTCCCTATATCCCTATGTATGCTTAAATCTTTAAAACTACGCAACGGATTTTGATGCGGTTTTTGTATAAAGAGTGATTGAAGGGGAAGGTTAATATGTATAAGTAAAAACATCCATTAAATAGTAGAGAAATTAAGTATCAGCATTGCTCCGTGCGAAGCCGGGTGGGTGTCCCAACTCGCAAATATTACTAGCAAACACTGGTCTTCTTGACATACAATTTGCAAAAACATATTAAAAATACAATTTTTTTGTCTTGTAGAAACATTAATAACACGATAGACAGTTAGGGAGTATTAGACGACGAAAGTGGACTAAATGACCTTGACTAGTATACGGTGTCACTACGTTAGGGATTCGGTTCCCGGTTGTGACCGCACTAGACCGGAGGTCGGCCGTGACCGCGGGTCGGACGCGAAGCCCTGCGTGCCCCACATACATACACAGCCAATGTAATCTGTTATCGATTAGTATCGAACATCACTGTCCACAGGTGAGCAACTGTAACTTATGCATTAATATTAAGAGGAGACGAACCTCTTGGGTTTGTTTCGGCATTTCTTTTCAAAGTAGTCAGGTAGGAAATGCCGGATTTAGTGCTGTTTTAGGACCTACTTGCAAAAATACATTCATTGTTATTGAAGCAGAGATGCCCACTTCACATGTTAAAACTTGACACATCTACTTTTCAGCTAGCTGATTAAGTGCCTAAAATAGTTAAAGGTTTAGAGTAACTATATAGCTAATGACATCTAGGATAGACTCATCCGAATAT